GAGGTGTTTATTATCACCTATGAACATATAATAGTTAAATCTAAACCAATGTAAGCATAAAATTGTCACAGGTTCCAAAATCATGTGTAAAAAACGTTACATTAATAAATAATGTTAGATTGATGATGTTTAAGACTGTAGATAAGTGACTGATCATTAACAGGCTCACCATCCTCCAGGAGCAGCACATAGATCCACCAAAGCTCTCGCTTTTTGCAGAAACTGGAATTTACGGTTTAACTGGATGAGTTTGAAAGAAGACCGAGATCGATAACCTGAAGGCCGCAACAAAGAAAAAGATTCAACACTACAGTATTTATGTAAAGCTTTACTGGGAGCCAATGCTAATGCAGAACATGTAGCTAAAAGTAGCCGACTGTTTTTCCTCTCTAACGCAACGTTACCTGTTTCTTTTGCAAGATGGTAGAATTTATCTTTCCTCGTCTTTCCGACTTTTGACTTCTTCCCCATCTTGGAATCGGTGGGTTAAAACTGAACTGATGCAGAAAAGTCACGACTGATCCAAACTCATGAAAACAACACGTGTGAGCGAATGTCCCTGCGCATATCTTTAGCGTCACACATGAGCGCTGCCTCTTCTTCTTCTTTCCATCTACTTTCAGTCAGAGGACTTGGCGCCATCTGCTGTTAGCTGTGCAGAATGCAACCTGATATCTTCTTAAAAAAAAAAATATATATATATACACTATATTGCCAAAAGTATTTGCTCACCCATCCAAATTATTGGAATCAGGTGTTCCAATCACTTCCATGGCCACAGGTGTATAAATTCAAGCACCTAGGCATGCAGACTGTTTTTACAAACATTTGTGAAAGAATGGGTCGCTCTCAGGAGCTCAGTGAATTCCAGCGTGGAACTGTGATAGGATGCCACCTGTGCAACAAATCCAGTCGTGAAATTTCCTCGCTCCTAAATATTCTACAGTCAACTGTCAGCTGTATTATAAGAAAATGGAAGTGTTTGGGAACGACAGCAACTCAGCCACGAAGTGGTAGGCCACGTAAACTGACGGAGCGGGGTCAGCGGATGCTGACGCGCATAGTGCGAAGAGGTCGCCAACTTTCTGCAGAGTCAATCACTACAGACCTCCAAACTTCATGTAGCTCAAGAACAGTGCGCAGAGAGCTTCATGGAATGGGTTTCCATGGGCGAGCAGCTGCATCCAAGCCATACATCACCAAGTGCAATGCAAAGCGTCGGATGCGGTGGTGTAAAGCACGCCGCCACTGGACTCTAGAGCAGTGGAGACGCGTTCTCTGGAGTGACGAATCGCGCTTCTCCATCTGGCAATCTGATGGACGGGTCTGGGTTTGGCGGTTGCCAGGAGAACGGTACTTGTCTGACTGCATTGTGCCAAGTGTAAAGTTTGGTGGAGGGGGGATTATGGTGTGAGGTTGTTTTTCAGGAGCTGGGCTTGGCCCCTTAGTTCCAGTGAAAGGAACTCTGAATGCTTCAGCATACCAAGACATTTTGGACAATTCCATGCTCCCAACTTTGTGGGAACAGTTTGGAGCTGGCCCCTTCCTCTTCCAACATGACTGTGCACCAGTGCACAAAGCAAGGTCCATAAAGACATGGATGACAGAGTCTGGTGTGGATGAACTTGACTGGCCTGCACAGAGTCCTGACCTCAACCCGATAGAACACCTTTGGGATGAATTAGAGCGGAGACTGAGAGCCAGGCCTTCTCGTCCAACATCAGTGTGCGACCTCACAAATGCGCTTCTGGAAGAATGGTCAAAAATTCCCATAAACACACTCCTAAACCTTGTGGACAGCCTTCCCAGAAGAGTTGAAGCTGTTCTAGCTGCAAAGGGTGGACCGACGTCATATTGAACCCTATGGATTAGGAACGGGATGTCACTTAAGCTCATATGTGAGTCAAGGCAGGTGAGCAAATACTTTTGGCAATATAGTGTATATATATATATATATATATATATATATGTGGCTGACATGCCTCTTTAATACTGCGCAGCAGTCAGGGACAATGCCCCTGAACTGACAGAATAGGGTGGTGGTTCAATGGGCATTTTCAGACCTAAGGGGGTAATATTTCTCAGTCTCCATAGTAAAGTCTATGCCAGGGTGCTGGAGAAGGGAGTCTGGCTGATTGTCAAACCTTAGCTTGTGGAGGAGCAGTGTCGTTTTCCAGTTGGTGCCCAGTGGGGGCTAATCTAGAATTAGGGAGTCGGGGACCCTTTACTAGGGGCTACCTCGTCTCTGTACAAGCAGAGCAGAAGTGTGGTGTGCATTGCTATTTTGAAGTTGGACTTGTTCCCTGCATTTGTTGTATTCTGACAGGACTGCCCTCTGTTCATAATCAGAACTTTCATGAACAGGATTTCTAGGTACAGCCAAAGGCGGTCTGGCAAAGCTCTCAAATTATCTTGAGAGTCTATCTTGACTGGCCTGAGAGCGCTTTGGCTTCCCCCAGCAGAGCTGGAAAAGGTGGAGAGAGCGAAGTCTGGGCGTAATTGCTGAGACTGATGCCCCTGGGACCATGTCCCAGATAAGCAGAGGACAACATGAGTAAAAGTACAGGTACAAGTTCTTTATTAAGAATTGCAATGCTTCTAGAGAGTTTAGTTTGAACATATTTGATGTGAGGCTTTTGGCAGATTTACTCATTTAGTTTTTACCACATCTATTAAGACATTTACATCTATATTTTCTTTATAATTTCCAGAAGACATTGAAGGTAGTTTTTTTTTCCAAATTCAAGTACAAATAGTTTTTGACCACCCAGCTTTTGAGCTTATTCATCTCTGCTGTAGTATCTTTCAAGAGCTGCCGTATTCTCTCACTTGTACAAAAAATATTTTTATCAACTGCAAATAAAACGTGTACTATATTCAAAACCTTACATGTGTAATTTATGTAGATAATAAACAATTATGGGTCAAAAAAGTGTCTTGGGGGATATCACAAGCAGTCTCCAGACATGATGACTGATAATCTCCTATCTTCACAAATTTCTATCTGCTACTTATTTAGCTCTTCATCCACTCCAGAAGCAACCATGTGCTCTAGAATGTTTTAATTTCCTGATAAATATGTATCAGGTATTCATAGGGCGATCAGTTGGGTCAAGTGCTTTTTTTATCTCAACAAACAGAGCAGTTGTAAATGTCTCCTTATCTTGGGAGCTGGTGAATTATCTCTATCAATTCCAGGACTGCCAAAGCTGTGGATCTCTTTGATCTTAATCGTCATACTGACTTTCAGAAAGTAGTTTGTATCTGTCAATCATATTTCCCATTCTGCTCATAAAGTGATTTTCGGAAATCTTGGAAAACTGTAAAAGCAGAGAATCTGACATGGTTTTGTTAATTCTTCTTACCCACATGCAGAACTGACTCTCAGAAGACAAAAAATTACAGTTAGGAAGTTTAATGATACAGCATAAATAAATATGCAACGGTGATTCACGTCAGGGTGGAAATGGCGATGCGGAAAGCCAGGGGTTCTGGAATGGATACACAAGTAAACAGGGGTCTTGAAGATGACTTGTTGAATTTTGAACCTTGCTTACTAAAGATCTTGCAGATAATAGCTAGGGGGAAGTTAGAGGATTGTGGGGTTCAGGGTTGTATTTTTAGAGTCTTGATCCTTGGTTCTTGCAAAGGCGGCAAAGAGATGCTGTAAAAATACATACCGGTATACATTTTTAACTTTATAGTAATATAAATATATATAGAGAGAGTAAATTTATTACATTACCTTATAAATACATTTATTTTCAAAACAGACATTATTTCATCTCTTTAAATTAGGCATTTTAAGATTCAATTGTATATTTACTGTAATATTTGAACTGATTAAAATCTAATGTACCATCCAAAATCTTAATTATTTACATATTTCATGTATTTATTTGATAGGACCTTCACATATCTGTAATATCAAATCACAGTGTTTGTGGAAATCATTGTGTGTTTGTATGCACAGAGCAGATCTTTACAGAAGATGAAAATTCATTTGCGTCTGCAATTCAACAGACAGCGAGTGCCAACCTTATTTTGTGTGTGTTCATTCATTAATGTGCAGATATTCTGACAGCCAAATTGTGTAAACTAATTGATAGAGGAAATGTGAATGTAAACAACAGACAAATTAAGCATTCTCATGTTTCATTTTATTTTTTTACTTTTTGTAAATCTGAAATATGCTAATTTTATAAAGTGCTCTATAAATATGATTGGGTTTATTAGATTAGATATTCTATTATTTAAGGCTATAAGTGCTTTTTCTTAAATATTTTGCATCATTTATACCTCATTCCCATTACTTAGAATCCCATCTTGTATTTAATAGGACTGTCAGCTGCTTGTAGAACAAGCAATCTGTTCATAATGTACATAAGAGGATTAGGGCCACTGGGAAAAAAAAAAGTTAACCGATTTGTAAATTTTATTTCAGTTTAGTATGGGAAAAAAGTCTGAATTCTGACTTTAATCTCAGAATTCTAACTTTTTTTATTGTCAGAATTTAGTCAGAAGTCTGAGATTAAATTTAGAATTCTGAGAAAAAAGTCAGAATTCTGACTTTTTTCCCATACTAAACTGAAATAAAATTTAAAAATCAGTTAACTTTTTTTTTTTTTTTTCCTGTGGCCTTAATCCTCTTCCGTATTAATGGGTGGAGCCTAACTGGTTTGGGGTTTTTTTGTGACATGTACAAAGTAGTCTTGCTGGACCTACTGAAAAAAATGCATGAAATCTATGTGTGTTGTGCAACCCCCCAAGAGGGGGCCTGGCCCCTCATTTCAGGAACCCCTGCCCTAAAGGATGGTTTAAGAGCACTTATTTTCCCCAATGCAGGACGATAAAGGGATATTCCTGTCCTTCCTAAAAGGTTTGATTAGAGAAAGTATTTTATGAAGGTAGCTGATAAGCTATTTATGGGTAAACTGTCCATAAATCTTATCTTTACAAGAACTACACAACAATCTGTGTTCAGGTATTTTTTGTTTTTTTATTCTTTAATTTGAGTTGCATGAGCATTAGGGAACAGCAGCCTATAGTGTAGATCAAATTTTTAAAAAGGCCTATTCCTGGACCGTGTGTTGATCAGTCCCAGGACAGAGAAGGCACTGGCTGCTGCCGTCACCAGACTGATGGCCCCAATGGCCCTTGAAGCCTGCAGAGAAGATAAAGAGCACAGGATGTGGAGTCAAGAAAAGAAATGAAAAAAAGACCACAGGATAGAAAAAGTTAATCAGTCATTATGTAATACGTTCAAAGTGTTAACAATGCTCTGATGGCACATTAGAAAAAAGCAAAGCAAACAGTCAGATACCTGCTCCGAAACCCCCTCCCCGTAGCGCAGTAGGGTGACAAAGTGTTCACAGTTGCTCCCAAGCAGGTCATAGGACACCTCCTGGTCGATGAGGACTTGAGCTCGCTGGATGATCTCGTAGACAGGCAGAGGCGTGTGGTTGTCATCGTACTTGTTGTTGACTCGATACGAATCGTTTCCAACCACCTCCTTCAGCAGCTGCATGCGCACCACAGCCTTCCTGCTAAATACAGACTTGACGCTGGACATGGCTGCTGCCTGACTCTCATCTGTGTGAGACAGTTCTTGTTTAGGATCAAGATGAAATAATGGAAAAATCCTATGTGCAGTAAGACTTAGACAGATTTTATTTTGTGATTTTGTACATACAAATGTAAGCAAAAAGAAATTTCTTTAAGTAAAGCTCTCTAGACTATTTCTTTTTTTAAATGCAGTTATAAATGCAGAGATAAAATAGTATCTCTTTAAGCTTAAAAAAAAAATTAAAACAGTAGAATCAAATTGTGTCCTTTACCAACAGAGGTACAGAAGGAAGAATCGCATTGCTTTATACTGTTAGAGGATGGTTTAGCTTGGGATACAAGTTAAGATTAACAATAAACAGATGCAGTTTGTTTTGTTAAGGTTTACACTGCATTCATTTTCATCTCTATATATTAATACATATCAGGAAAGCCTTTTATCAGATTTCCCCCTCTACCTTTCTACCATCTCTGCACATCTAAAAACCAAACTTCTTTTTTGCAACATAGCTCAAATTCAGTCAAATAGTATGCAGAACTGTTGCACACAAATGGTCCCATCTTGCTGCATATCACTGTATTGTTTAGTGTCTGTTCTCTGCTGTTTTCCTGTAGGAAGGGCAGCCAAGTTGTACCCTGTGATGAGTTTTCTATGGCACAAATTTATTGTTTTGCATCTGCTTTAACAAGTTTATTGATTCTTATGTTTACTGTTTCCTAGTCATGTTTTTGTTCTTTTTACCTCCTTCACTAATAGACGCCATGTTGACAGATTCTCCTACCTGTAGATTGCTGCAGTTCCTCCAGAGTTACCATGAGCCTGTTAGCTGCTTATTTGATTATAACCCTTACCAGGCCTGTTTGCACACCTTTAAAAGTGTCCAGCTGTCATGCTCCATTCAGTATTCAATTTGTCATGAAAATTGGCAATAAACTGAACAGTCCTCCATAAGATTTTCAAATTTCAGGATTAATTATTTTACAAACTAACTGTCCTTTAAACTCCACAACTTTAACTCCAACATGTCTGCTTTTTTCTTTAAGTCTGCAAGATGCCATTTTTTTCTCTGTCTAGCAAACTTCTAAGGCCTTTGCAGAACAGCTATGTTTATACTCCGATAACATTTCACACACTGTATTTGTTTAATCACTTCTAAAATAGATTAGTTATGTTGTTTTTTTTATTTAGAGGGAAAAAAATGGACAACTAAGCTCATAAGGAAACCACAGATTTAACTTTTTGTTTTATAAAACTATTGATAACCGCATATCTATTTCATTTCACAAAGAATTCATGATTTATCCAGGATCTTTCTTTAGAACTTTTTTTTTTTTTTTATTAAAGAACTCCAGTGCAGAACTACGACAAAATTCATGGATGAAGAGCAGAGTTGCATTCAGGTAGAATTAAGAACAGTGGGAATGAAAATTTTCTACAAACCGACAGGAGTTAAGTTGATAATGTAACCATCTCCCAGGTAGAGAGCCCAGTGCTGATAGGCTGGTCTGAAGATTTCAATGAGGTCACCAGGTTGAGGGTCACCAGAGGGTTCTGAAAGCTCAGGGTCATTAGAGGCCATCTAATGCACAGAGCACAAAAAAAAAGATTGTTCTGCTGTTTACCTTCAGCAATTAGCACTATGAGTCACAAAGACTTGCTAAATTTATAAAGAATAATTTGAATATGACCTTTTTCTAAATTATTTCTTCAAATATATGACTTACATATGACAAATATAAATATATGACTTACATAAAAAAACATTTGATATCTGAGAATTAAAGCTGTTTGTCACATTTAAAAACATAATATAGCTGAAAAACCTGTGTTTATACGAGCAGATATTCAGTTTACTTACAGCAGAGTTTGGTCGTTGTTTATCCATCCCACATCATGCTTCCACAAATTCTAGGGAAAGATGAGAATAGGAAGGTTTTTTTTTTTGTTTTTTTTTCTCCATTTTCAAATTTTGGTTGTAAATCTTAACAAGATTTTCAACAAGTAAAACAAGAATCCTCACTTTTTAATCCATTTTAATTTTTTTTTATTATACACAAATAAAGAAATTACCCAAAACCCCTTGTAAGAGAGAATGCTAGATAAAAAGGACAGCATGGAAGGCTCCTACATACAAAACACAGCAACTCGCTCACACATACAGAAACACACACACAATACACACAAGCTCTGATGTCACCTGGGCTGCTACAATAGCACCAACACAATGTGGAAACTGACAGAAACATGTTTAAATTTAGCTTGTTTGACACTGCAAGAAGAGCCTAAATCATTTTGGGTGATTTCTTCAGGTTATTCACATTAATATGAGAGACAATAATGAGCAAAAATTTGGTGATTAAAGAAATGAGCTTGGAACAACGTTACAAATGAAAGCAGAAGGAATTTATATCTTCCAGGGGGAGCTGAATCCCATTATTAATGTATACTAAAGAGAGCACAAAAAAGGACCATGAATCATTTATCACAGCATAATACCAGCAGCTATAGAATGTAATTTACTGATGTAAAAACTGAACTAGGTACATATAAACTAGAAGTATGTATATAATAATATTTAACCTTGAAGGGTAAAGGTATAAATGTCATACTTACTCAAACACCAGTAGTTTTTTCTTTCTCACCATCTTAATTCTCCATCTTAAATCCACATCAAACAACAAGAAAATCCACAAAAATTCTGAAGAGTGATGCAAAGTTTTTTAGGATTAGAATCGTATGCTGTGTTTTCTGAAAGTTAAACTCCAAGGCAGAGGTTTCTGCTGTAGCCTGCTCAGTATTCACAGCTCTGACTGACTGCGGTTCCTGCCACCGCTGCTTAGTTTTGTCTCACACACACACGCACACACACACCCACACACACATGCAGACACATGCAGACAAACAGCCTTTGTTTGCATAACTTTTGGGGACATTTTATTGACTTACATTCATTTAATATGGCCTAACCCAGACTCTTACCTTAACCATTAGCAACATTTACCAAAAATTAATCTAAACTGAATTCACACCCCAGTCCTAAGCATAACCCCAACCAAAAGAAGACAAATTTACCATTTGGGGACTCCTTATTGTCCCTATTTGGATCAGTAAATCCCCACAATGGGGATATTGGACAATAGACTGCCCCCGACTGAAGCTAAAAAAAACGCACACAGACACACATACATAGACACAGGCATACAAAGTGCTGACCGCAGTGCTAGTTTAGTCTAAAAAGGAATAAAGCATGTGGGAAGGAAAAAATTTAATTTGTAAAAAATAAATTTTCAAACAAATAAATTGATTACTGTTTTTATTGTAAATTAATTTTATTAATTTTTAAAATATTATTAGGTCTTTGTTGATTTTTAATGTATAGTTTGCTTTTATCCTTATTTAAAAGTGTTTCTTTTCTTAAAATATTTTTAATTTAAATTTATTTACATTTCTTTTAAATTTTGCCAAATAGAAAATCATACTGACTCCAAGAAAGTAGCATCCCTTCATCTAGGCAGATGAATGAAATGAATAATCAGACCAGTCATCAGTTCCAAAATCATGACAGTAATATGCCACAATTAGCATTTTATAATCATGTGTGCCTGTATGGTTTGAATTAAATTTTAGTAAGGAAATACAATCTGTATATTTAAGACATATGTACGACATATACTATATCATTTTGCAATATTGATGCACTTTCTCAGTACCAAAGTTTCTGGTTCAAATCCAGGGCGTGGGTCCCTCTGTATTAGAATTCTATGCTCTCATAAGGCCTGTGCGGTCCAAGGATTTTTCAGACACCCACGTCACTGTGATCTAAAATTTATTAGGGTACAGAATGTTCTTATAAATTTTCTGCAGAAATTCAATTTGTTCTTGATCATCTCTCAGCTTTTGAATATTTCATCTTGAGTTCCGTATGACTTCAAATATTTCCCTTTGGGTGATAAATCCAGTTCGCCTTGTTAAGTTTACATGTTTCTTAAAAAGATACAGATGTCTAAAACACTTTCATGAAAGTTATTTAGAGAGAATGAACTTTGCAGCCTTCTGCTGCCCTTTTTTCCTATATTTCATGTAGAATTTAGTTCTTCACATTAGTGGAGACAGTATGAGAGAGGGGGAGAGACATGTGGCAAAGGACCACAGGTCGGATTCAAACCCGGGTCAGCCGCGTCACGGGTTGTTACATGGGTTTTGCACACTAACCACTGCACCACCTGCACGCCCAGTTCTTGACATTTCTCATGAAAATCTATATCTCTGCTATTTCTCCTTTTATCAAGTGTGCAGACGTGCTAATTTAAACCTGTTGAGGTGGATTGAAACTATTTGCATTTACTCATATACGTTTTTTTACGTAACTTTACTCCACCAAACTGTTTTCTTTTGCTTGAGTGAATTTCATAACAAAGTAATACTGCCTGTATTTAAGTACAGTTCCCGGTTTCTCTGCACGCCAGGAATTACCTCACTCAGAAACAAACAATTGTGTTTTAATTAGAAAATGAATTGACAGACACACTTGTCTGTGTCTGTTGAGACTGGTGAGTCAAGTGATTATAGGGTAAACAACAGTACTTACTGCACTATTCCAATGAATCTGTGATATGGATATTTTTGTTTCTACTGTCAGTTTGATTCATTTCAATAGATTTACTATTATGTATATTTACTATTATGCACATTTAACATTATGTTATTCTTATGCAAGAACCTTATGTCTTATTATGTAAGATCTAGAATTATTATTTAATTACAAAACGAGTACTGAGTTTTCAGTAGCCGTTTCACCAAATAAGTTTTTTTTCCCCTTCTTGACTTTATTTTTGCATGTTTACTTTTTATTTCTACTTAAGTGAAAATATATTCTGGTAGTGCTACTCTTAGTTCAATAAAAGTTTTTAGCTTACCTAGCCAGCTCTGGTTTTAACACTGTTTCTTAAAAAACACTTTCATGTTTCAAGCTATTCCAACTCTTATCTTCAACAGCTTCACACCTGCCACTAATACTGTGGGATATTAACAAGAAAGAGTAATTGGTTAAAAGATTAGAAAAATGCCACTGTCCTTTGGAGACAGTGGCATTTTGAGGGTGGTAATTTTTTGAGGAAGTGTCAGGGGATCACCAAAGTATAAGTTAATTTTGTGCTCAAAGTGGCAATTTGACCTCAATGTTCTTTACAGTTACAGTACACTATTATTTTACCTAATTATTTTTCTTTTTATATAAATGTATGTAAATAATTGATCAAATTAGTAACTAAACCCACATTGTCATTAATTACATTCTTCATATGCCAATGTTTAACTCAGTCTTTTTCTGCAGCAGTGAAAACTGATGTGACCTTTGTGAACTTTTGATTACTGTAAGTCACATGGTAAAACCTGCATGACTTTGTTCACAGATTGGCTACAGCATGTATTGGGTCATCGCCTATTCGGGCCACCGTAGAGAAATATCATCAAGTGGGATTAGACTTCATAAAGGAAATATTAACACTGAGAATTTCAAAATAAAATAAGCTTTATTCACACACAAAAACATCTTTAGCAAATGCAGGTTAAAAAATACTTTAATATTGATAATATATTAATGTTATTGAAAGTAAATTAACTCAACCTTAAATTGTAAAAGATTTATAACAGATAAGAGAATATATCTATCAAGGTTATGCCAATGCCAAAACTACATAAAGGAACAAGTTTATTTACACAAAAATATAATTTTATAGAATTTATCTTTCATTATATGTCCATGAAAGAGCTCAGAACTCTGTGAAGAACATATTTCTTGTGAAATATGTTATACTTGGACAGGGTACCTAAAGACAGTGAAAATCACCATTACAGCAGCTTACAAGTTGCTTTGGTTACAACAAATGTAACCAATCAGTGGATGTTTGTTAGCATAATTATCATTGAAGATGTATAGACCTTGGTATTGGCTGCCTGTTGCATGTCAGAACTGATGTTTTAATCTCATTAAGACAGTTCCTTTGTCTGGATATACAGTTATAATCTTCATTTTGTATGTGGCAAAGATTTGGAAATGGAATGAGAGCTGTGTCCTTCAGCTAAGAACGAAGTGTAATATTTTTAAGGCTGGAGTCATGGATATGTAATCATCTGCTAACGTGTATGATGTAAAATAAGATGATGTGGCAGACTGGAGATGTATAAAATGCCTTTTTAACTGTTAATTAGGGGCCACTTCCTGAGAGGTGAGCAGCTGCCATTCTGTAAACTCTAAACAATTTATCTGATCTGAGTAAGGTTACAATTTCTATCAAAATCTGTTGTCATGTCTCCTGGATATTTAATACAAATAAGTTATGAAGTATTATTTAAAGAGTTTGTCCTGAGTGATCTCTTTTCAGGAAAAGAACCGGAGAGATAGAACATCAAGGTGCATACACAGAACAATCTTTAACATGTTCAAGGATGTAAGGAACTTTGACTTTTCACACAGAATCATGATCTGGAAATTTTACATCTCATTCATGAGTAAAAACCAATGATAAAACACAATTTTATTTATAAAGCACTTAAAGGAATAGTGTTGAGCTTTGGGCTGATAAGAATATGCTTTCTGTATTTTCTCAGAAGCTCCAATAAGCTTAATTAAAACATGTAAAACATTTTAAAAACTCAAACAATGAAATAGGTTTGGTCGCATGCCAAGTGGTGTAAATGTGTTTAAAAGTGACCGAGGATGAGGCTTTAGTTTATGTTTGTTTATTTTTATTTTATTTTTTTTTATCTGAGGCCTCCCTCTCTTTAAAGTATTTCCCCCTTTTGATTAAAATCAAATAAAGATAAATTCCTTTTACAAAAAAATAAAATAAAAATGGCTTTCCAGCAGTACATGTTACTAGAGGAAGGTTGCCTTGAAAAAAGAAAAAACAAGATTGATTGTGCTCTCAGTATTTCAACGTCTGGGGGCTTTTAATTTGTAAAAAATTTCCGGAAGTTCTATTTCCGGTATTTAGCTTGGCGCAGCGCTGGATGGATACAAACAGAAGGTTAGACAGGTTGACTGCAGCGACTGATTTCAGTGCAACGGCGAGACTTTTTGTGGTTGTCAGCGCAGAACATCTGGTTTTGTGTAATGTAAAGTGGGTCTGGTCCCGTTAGGACTGTGGTGAGAAAATATGTATACTTATTGCTAATGTTAACGTTGCTCTCACATAGTTAGCTTAACCCATGCTAGCACGATAGCGGCTCGGCTCGAGTTTGGTAATGTCTGTTAGCCGCTAGGAAAAGATACACACATATATATATCCTCTAATTGTATATTTTTTCGTATTTAAAGCATTAGCTGGTTATGAAATAGCCGATTAAACATGTGAACGTTCGCTTTTCCCCAGCGTGTGGGGCCACTGATTGACTTTAAACTAAATAGTAGAGCGAAGAGTTTAATGTGTACTGTCCTCGGAGTGTAAATCAACCTATTGTAACCTGTCATACCTCCAGATTGAACACCATGGCTGCCGCTCCTCCACTCAGGCGGACAGACTCAGCTCGAGGGGAGTTTTCCCCTCTAAAACACTTTGTTGTTGCAAAGAAGAAGATCAGCGATGTGTTTGAGCTGCTTCTCAACTACGTGAAAGAGACATCAGAGTTTGTTGAAGGTGGAAACATTTTTTCTCCTCTCATTCTTCAATCAGATCAGTCTGTAAGTTAATATATACATCTGTTAAACTGTTGTGTGATGACAGAGATTCATGGGAATGAAGCTCTGGAGACCATCGCCACCAAAGAGCAGAAGGTGGAGATTCAGACATACTCTGACAAGCTTGCAGTCATTAAGGAGGTGCTGGCACGCAGACACATGAAGGTGGCTTTTTTTGGCAGGTATGTGCTTCACTCCTCACCTGAGGCTTGGTTTCCTGCTGTTCTTCTTTCTTACCTGCAGCTCTAACTTTGGGCGTAATTACTTTAAAGTAGCCCGGGCAGTTGGGTTTCACTTTCACATCTAATCTGGTCAATTCCTCACCCTTCTACTCTTTAACAATACATTATATGGAGATATCTAGTTCAATATATATGGTTCTTTTAAAACTATATTGCAAGTGTCTGTATACTCAAAATAATGTAAAGGAAAAACAAGAAAGTCTAAGTCTAAGGGGGTGGGCCTCCAACTGTAGTATATAATTAATTTTCTTAATTTGTTTTCTGTTTTTTTTGGAAAATATTTCACAACTAATACGGCAACCACCAATTTCATGATTTACTAAACAAAGTTTAAAAGCTTCGTGCCAACCAGTTGTTTTTTTTTATAGTCATGCCTGGTATTAGCATTTTATTTTCCTACCTTCACAAATGTAAATATGTGTTATTCGTGAAAACCAACTAGGACATTTACTGGAACTGTGAGCCTTAGTCAGAAAGGGCTTAAAACTGAGCTTTTCATTTGTTGTAAAACAGTGGATGAATATTAGGGAAGCACCTTGTTCCCTCTATTATTTTGTATGGTGTAATGCTGTGGGATTTTATTTTTTTCATACCGAGCCACTGGAATCTTTTTAGAATGTTTGCGCCATTATACAAGCACATGTTAGTGCATTAGTACGTCTGATATTGGGGTCAACATCGGATGTAAACTGAAAAAGTGTGATAATTAAATCTTATAGCAGGACATGGATCTTTAAGTTCAATCCAATAAAAACGTGGGTTCTGTTGAGCAAGAGGACTTAAGAGGGAAATCCTTATCCTGATGATTGAGAGATCAAAGATCCTCCTTTCTGTTTTCCTCAACCCTGTAAAATGACCTTGGTGAAATTACTGTTTAATGATATAATTTTAAAGATATTATTAACAGTATCTTTATGCCACCATAACTTTATAAAGGTTATCCAGATCTCGCAGCCAACATTTGTTCAGCAGAATGATGGGTTCTGGAAACATATACTGTGTCAAAATAGCAGAAATATCAGGCATGTAAAAACTAAAACAAAACTGCTAAATTAGAAGTAGCCCCTGGATATAAAAATAACCAAAATATATGTTTTAGTCATTTGTATATCTGCAAGGTGGTTTGCTCTACAGTTAGTCTGTTTGTACTTTATCTCCCTCTAGGACCAGTAATGGTAAAAGTACGGTGATCAACGCCATGCTGAGGGATCGCGTCCTGCCCAGCGGGATCGGTCACACCACCAACTGCTTCCTGAGTGTGGAAGGCACAGACGAAGACAAAGCCTACCTTAAAACGGAGGGCTCTGAAGAGGAGAAGAGCATTAAAGTAAATAAACCTGAGCTTTGTTGCTATCGCAATTTTTTTTTTGTATAGTAAATATATATAAACTCGTCACATTTTCATGACATCAGACCTATTGTATGTAGACCACAGACCAAGTTTAACACAAATCCAGGTTATAATCCTTTCATTCTAACTGGGTTGGATCTGCTGCTGTTTTCTGCTTCTTAGACGGATACAAAGCAAGAGGATGTTAGGAATCCTTTTTATTGTGTTCACATAACCACAATCTGGAAAAATATAATAGGGGTAGGAGAAAAGTGGATTGATTGATGATTTTGCAGTTGTGAAAGAGTTTGTAACAAAGTAGGTGAGGTTGATTTTTGATAAGGGATGATATGAGAGCTTTGCTCTTTTAGGAGCTTTAAGATTTTTCTGAATTTTATTTGTTATGAAAAAAAAAACATTTAAGACAGTTTTTCTTTAAATCATGTAATAAAATGTATATGGAACAGGGGAAAAGATGATCTATAAAGTTTTCTTGTGTATCATCATGGAAAATGTGGACACTAGATTGCTATTTTCCTACTTTAACACCAGCTTTGTCGTGGTCTCATTACTTGCTCTCCCTTTGTCCTTGGACACCAGACATTGGTGGGAATCTCCACTTGTCTGAAACCATGCAAAGCAGGCTGAGGGATGTTTACTGCAGTGTCAGGTGTCTAAAGTGGAAACGCCTACATACGATACCCTGTCCTCTTTCCTTTAACCTGTAAATGCAGACATAGCATGAAATGGATTCACCCCACTAGAAAAAAACCAAACAAAATCGCTTCCAATGTCAGAATTTGGACAATAAATACTTTTCTTTTTTTCCTGCCAAACATCATTGTTATGGTGTAGTTAAGGTTTTACCTAAAATGCTTAGAATGTGGTTTAATGTTTGCTGTATTTTGAGAGGCTCCAACCAGGCCTCTTATAGCCAACACCAAATTCCTGTTTTATTTGAGTTCAAAGAATAAATCTTTTTTCTGCATTGTCTTATAGAAAATTAATCATTTGATTTTTTATTTTTTATTTGTAAAGCAGTCATGAAGCAGCCCTCTGGTTTGTGGTTACAGCTATTTAATAATTTTCCAGAGATTCTTTAGACTATTGCTTAGCGCAACATCAGTTAAATGATGTCCATTCAAAGAGACTGCTGGCGAAAACTAGTTTAATTTAGTTAACTCCAGCATGTTTACTTTGTCAAATTTTAATTATTGTACCTTGTCAAATAAAGAAGATTTAGTCATCCTATCTCCTCCAACTCTTCTGCAGACTGTAAACCAGCTTGCCCACGCTCTTCATATGGATGAAAGCCTGGATGCTGGCTGCCTGGTTCGAGTCTTCTGGCCAAAGACCAAATGTGCTCTGCTTCGGGATGACCTGGTCCTCGTGGACAGGTAGCTACCTGGAAAAATAGTTTAAATAGTTAGATGTTTTTTATTGCAAAAATGTAAAAAAAAAATTTGGCCTTTTCTTTTTAATACGACACTTTTGACCCTTTAGCCCAGGGACGGATGTCACAACACAACTGGACAGCTGGATTGACAAGTTTTGCCTGGATGCTGACGTCTTTGTGCTGGTGGCAAACTCTGAGTCGACGCTTATGAACACGGTAAACTTCACACACCCGGCTTTTTGGATTTACAGTAGCTGTCTATCTGCTTTCTTTCTGCTTGAGGCGTTAGGCTGGTTACGTAACCTTTAAAATCATTCATTATAAAATGTTTGCATAACTCCTTCCTGTGTTAAGCTGATGCGATCTTTAATAAATCTGTCATGTCATTGTGAGATATGCGAGATATGCCTTGGTTTAAAAAAAAACTGCAGTGCTGTGCTGTATGCATTAGTGTTTGTTTTTTTTCCGTTATTTTACATCTTGTTTCACAAGTTTGGAAAAATGTAGGTTTAAATGATTTTGACCTACTGCATAGTTAAATTGAATAATTATTTAAAGTTTCTTTTTCCTTTGAATTTTAAATGGTTTCAGTTTGAACAGAAATGAAACAGTTTGTTGAATTTCCAAGCTAACTAGTTCAGTTGTTTCCATTGCTTCTGTGCACTACGGTGGCCAGCATGTGTACTTTCCTGCACACTCTTAGAAAGGCCACACTTGCCTGAGTGTGTTCAGGCATTCATGCTATGTGAAGCTCAACAGAGTCACTGACGGAGCGCCTTCATGACGCTGCTGCTCTTAAAGAGAAAGCAACATTACGTTCTTACATAGGGTTTCCAGTGGAAATGAACCAAACCTTGGAATGAGATGTACGCATTTATTTCCTGATGTTCAACTGTGCTTGACAGGAACTTTTCTATTTATTTAAAGAAAATAAACAGTTTCTTTCTTCCCTGCTATCAGCTGCTTTGTTTACTGCAACACAATGTTTAATCTCTCAATCCAGGAAAAACACTTTTTCCACAAAGTGAACGAGCGCCTCTCGAAGCCAAACATCTTCATCCTGAACAATCGCTGGGACGCCTCTGCAAACGAACCAGAGTACATGGAGGATGTGAGTTAAACCTCTCACACCAGAAGCTTCTTTAAACTATTAAATGTCATTTTACAATCTAAATTTTAACGCATTATTTTGTCTAGCACCCTCATCTCTTACTATAAACCGTTATACACCTCTTCATTTTTCCAGGTGAGGAAGCAGCACACGGATCGCTGCGTGAACTTCCTGGTGGAGGAGTTAAAAGTTGTGGAACGCTATCAAGCACCTGACCACATCTTCTTTGTTTCTGCAAAAGAGGTGCTCAACTCCCGTATGCAGCGAGCTCAGGGCATGCCTGAGACAGGTGAGCATTGCAAGTACTGCACATGCTGCTCCTATTGGTGCATATCAATTTTTCTTGTATTAGTTTGATTTATTTACTCACTGCAAAGGTTTATAAAGATAATATACAAATCTGTACTATAAATAGAAACGTGTCAATAGAGCAGTAAGCCAAATTGGAATTTTTATGATGGTTTAAAAGTTAAAATGTTAAGTCTCTAATAAAGATTAGTTAACAGTCTTTCTGAGGTTATACTTTCATCCAACAGGTGGCGCTCTGGCTGAAGGTTTCAAGGAGAGACTGAAGGAGTTCCAGACGTTTGAGCAAAGGTTTGAGGTATAAATAAAAATGAATATTAAGGATCTGACAGCAGGATTTGGCGCTGTAAAACTCTATATTTATGGTTTATTTGACAGGTTCCTATATATATTAATTATTTTATAAAATAAACTTCTGTTTTAATATTGAAAAGATTCCAGTTTTAATACAGAGAAAGGGAATATAAGTTAATTTAAAAATGCCCTCTAGCTGTTTGGTAGTTTGGTTTCTATGCACTGATTACTAGGTGCCATAAAACACTTTTCCTCATTAGATAAATCTTAGAATATTTGGTTAAATCTTAAATCTCTGGTCTGTGACAGATTTCCTCTGTGGATTTTAGCCTTCATGACCTGATAGCTCCTCTTATTCAGCAGAGGCTGCTGCTCTGACAGATGTCGTCTTCTCCTTTATGTTGTTTTTTTTTTTTTAGCCGTTTTACATGGCTCTACCAGTCACTGTGTCCTCACCTTCTTTCCTCCTTTCAAAATGAGAACTACATGAGAGAAGCATAAACTGTACACTTCAGAATCATAGCAGGACTTTGAAGAAAACATTGTTAAACTCAGGAATTTATTATCTGTAAAAACTGTCAGTCAGTGGATCCGATGGAAAATATTTTTACTGCACCAGTTTATGTGACTGATTTAAAAATGCTCACATAAATATGCGGCAGTGAAATAATCTGTTCCTATTTCTATTTATTTATTTATTTATGTTTAATTTAGCCAGATGGAGAATAAATAACGAACTCTGACCTTTTATATAGAAGGTACATTAACCATCAAATGTGTTGATCGGCCATTTGTTCTCCTCTGCAAACCTCCAGCCAGTTGGTGCTGAGAAAGTACCTGTTGGAGTCAGTTTTTATAATGGTGGAACAGCATGACATGAGTTCCAGTTTAGCACTGAACTGGTCAGTTTTTATTTACTTTTATATTTCCAGTAGGCCCCCTTTAGGGGCCTTTTAGATCTGTGCCTGTTCTTCAACCTGCGTCTTCATTGCTGAAATCTAGATTCACTTAGGTGAGGTAAACGTTTATGTGGTTTTGTTTGATATTTTTTTTAGTTTAATATATTCATTTTACCTTATTAAAACCTTTTTTTTAGCTGGAGACCTAAATTGTATATTTAAGGAAATTACTATTTAAACATTTTAATCCTTAAAATTCAGTATATTTTAAATTTGCTGTGAACTAACCTAAGTTACAGCTTCTCTTAACGACATGGGTTGCAATTTTTCCTTCCAGCAGTAAGTTGTAAGCAGCAGCCACAGTGTTGCCTTCTAATATAGTAACATTTCAGGTTAAAAAGCATTGCAACAGTTTTTTTTTTCCAATTGGTAAAAATGAAAATGTTTAATTTTGGATATTTTTTGGTTATTTATAACAAAAATGCATCCTAAATGGGATGGTTCACCATCGGCTTAATGAAATCAGAAGAGAAAGTACATTTAAAAAGAGATAAAAAAATCTATGCTTTTCTTTTGCTATGATATAAACTAATTTACCTTCTTTTAGATCATATATTTATACCAGCAGCAGATCCAAAGTAAACAGTATTCCATAGATATTCCAGTTTGAGATGTTTTCTTTCTTTTTTTTTATTTTAATTTTTTTATTAGATGTAATTTCTGTCTCATTTCTTCTCAGTTTCTATTATTTCCTAATGTCTCTGTGGCTTAAGCCAGCACACAAGTGTGACTCTTTGAATGTGGGCTGTGAGACACAAGGTACACACTCTGCTGCTGTCCTCTTCACTCCTGTGTTCCTTCCATTTCTATTCCTTCATTTTATTTTTTTAAGGTTAAAGCAGCAGGTGTCTATCTTGTCCCGTTTGTCCCTACACCGCGTGCCGAGTCATGCAGGCGGTCAGGCAGCACCCACTGTACCTGTCACAGTAAATTTGTGTGTTATGGCCTCGCAGGAGTGTATCTCGCAGTCAGCAGTGAAAACAAAGTTTGAGCAGCACACTATCAGGGCCAAGCAGATCACAGAAAAAGTCAAGACCATCATGGACGCCATCAACATTGAAGCGGCGGAGAAGCGGTAAGCAACTTTGCGTTCACTGTTCTTTGATTGTTAACGTTACACTTAATAATGAACTAATGTTGTCTTTTTTTAACTGATGTCTTAAAGGTTTAAACAGGTAAACTAGATGATATGACAATTCTGAGTAGATTTAGCCAGATATGCTGTGATGCATGAAATTTTGAGATGCAGCTTTCAGTTAATAGGCTCTATGCACAACTCCACTACTTCCTGAATTTAAAGCAGCTCCTTTGTTTCCTGTCTTTCATGATTGGATGCTCTGATTAATCCAGGTGTGTATGACCTAAGTAACTGGCCAGACACACCTGGATTAATCAGTTCGTCCAGTAATGAAAGACAGGAAACAAAGGAGCTGCTTTAAATTCAGGAAGTAGTGGAGCTGTGCATAGAGCCAATTGATAAATTACATTAAATACTGCATTTATTTAGCTATTTCTGCTATTTTACATGTGATTGGTGGGATGGGCTTTCAGAGTGACAGCACTGGAGGACAGAGATTATCAGATAGATCGGCTGGAGTTTGTCAAGAATCAACTCAACCTGCTGATTGAAGAAATAAAAAAGAAGATCAAAGCTATCAGTGATGATGTGGAGTCCAAGGTAATGTCAACTGTATCCAGTCCAAAATCTACAAAATAAGAACTGTTTGTCTAAGGTAATAACCACATTTAAGACTCTCTCTACAGTCTTTGAAGAGACCAGTAAAACAGTCATTAGATCTTTTTTTTTTTTTTTTTTTTTTTTTTTTTTTTTTTTTTTTTTTTTTTTTTTGCCGTTTGGATGGAAATTCTTTTTAAAGTGGTTAGGCGTCATTGTGGCCTCAGTGCTATCTATCAACTGTATGATGGAAACTGTAGGTGTTTTCTTAGTGACCCATTTTTACACACGTTTCAATGAGGCTCAGCTTTCACTACAGTACTTGTAGAATCTTAGAAACGGCTTAATAAAGTAATGGCAATTAAACGGGTAAGAAAGGTCAACAACAAAAGGTATGAAAAGAGCTAAAATTAACCAGTGATTTACAGAAACTTAACAGAAGCGGGGAGTTTCTTATCAGCATGAAAATATTGGAAATTATAGCTCCTGGCCAATAAAATCCAGTATTTATTTTTTGGCTAAAATGGAACTGATAGATGATATTGATATCGGATCGGGACATCCCTAATAAACAGGGTTCCCGCAGGTCCTTAAAAAGTCTTAAAAGGCATTGAATTCTTCAAAATAAAACTAAGGCCTTAATTGGCATTAAAATGTCTTAAATCAGTCTTCCGTAGGTCTTAATTTTTAAAACATAATTAATAGGATTGTTTTTATTAAAATGTATTTTTGTAATCTAAATAAAACGTTAAAATTGACATTGGTTCCGTCCCGATAGCAGAACCAATAAAAGCGTTGTTGCGGCCTGGACATTTGGGAGATGCACCATTAACTTTTTGTCTGGAAAACATGAGCAAGTGTAAATGTAATAAAAATTGGCTCCAGCCAAGAGTTTTCTCCATGGCTAAAACCAGGGAACATACATGAGGCTCAGTGGGTTTTGTGCAAGAAGTCATTCAAGCTCTGAACGATGGGAATTAAAGGAATAGTACACCCAAAACATAATTAGCCTTCATTTTCTACTCACCCCCCATGCTGAACAACACTCTGTAGTACTTTTTTGATATCTCAAATGCATCTGGAGATCTGGGAGGCTTCTTGCTGTCTGCTGAAATTCAAATAATGGAGGTCTATGGTGACCGAGACAGAAAGGTCCATAAAAGTCCACAAAAAACGTGTCAATATTCCTCCATACTGCTCGTCCAATGTATTCCAAGTGTCCTGAGTGGGTAGCATCCAGAATTTACTCGAAACGAAATCATTTAGAATGTTTTTAGAGCATAAACAGTAGTGTATAGGATTTCCTGAAAGCGCGCACATGCGCGCTCACGACGCTACGGAAGCCGGCAGACCAAACCAGCGCATTCAGCTCGGCAAAGAACTCATGCTCTTCCTCAACACTGAAGTCCTCAGACATTTTTCTTTTGTTGTTTCTTTCTTTGCACAGGTAAACAGCACATTTCTTCTTCTACGCTTGCATTATTGGCAGAGCAGACGCTGAATGCGCACTTTCATCTGGTTTGGTCTGTCGGCTTCCGTAGCTTCGTGAGCGCGCATGTGCGCGCTTTCAGGAAATCCTATACACTACTGTTTATGCTCTAAAAACATTCTAAATGACTTCGTTTCGAGTAAATTCTGGATGCTACCCACTCAGGACACTTGGAATACGTTGGACGAGCAGTATGGAGGAATATTGACACGTTTTTTGTGGACTTTTATGGACCTTTCTGTCTCGGTCACCATAGACCTCCATTATTTGAATGTCAGCAGACAGCAAGAAGCCTCCCAGATCTCCAGATGCATTTGAGATATCAAAAAAGTACTCCAGAGTGTTGTCCAGCATGGGGGTGAGTAGAAAATGAAGGCTAATCATGTTTTGGGTGTACTATTCCTTTAAGGCAGTGGAGTCGCACATGCGAAGCACGAAACACAATGCGTCAAAATGGAGTTTCTCAGTTTTGTTCCACCCTTGTCTCTGCAAAACAAAGTTTGTGAATTCAGTTAAATAATTGTTAAAATATATCTGTCATTTGTGTGTTTTTAGCTTTCTTCCTGTATGGGAAGCTTTTCAAAATTTGAAACATTAGTGCAGTGGTTTATGTTAAAATAAACCTTTGGGTTAAGTTGTCGCAAGCAGGTTTTTCTTGTGTTTCTTGTGAATTTGGTCTTAAATTTATATTTCCAGTGGCATTAAAAAGTCTTAAAAAGTCTTGAATTTAACTTGCCTTATGCTGTAGGAACCCTGATAAAGTGCACTTTAGTTAGAAAGCTGCTCTTTAAAACACTCCAAAATAATTGATGCAATAAATGCTGGTAATAAAGATAAGCCGGTAATTAAAGACCAACCTTCCAGAATTGACTTAGAACATTAATTATTGCCACAAGCCCATTATAGACCTGATAGAGGTTGATTGCTGTAAATACGATGCCAGGCATATTTTTCAGGAAAGACTTTTGAATCTCATATTTGACTCAGGTGTCCATCGCCATGAGAGAGGAGATCAACCGTCTTCATGTGATTGTTGATGAGTTCCATGCTGATTTCCACCCTTCACCTCAAGTCCTCAAAATCTACAAGGCTGTAAGTAAATGGCTGGTCACCAAAACCCTGGTTGTTAACCAATAGGAGGGTTAAGATCAACTTTAAGTTCAGGTGTTGGAAAAACAAATCAGCTTTGAGAGATGTCTTATAATATGAACAATAATAGCATAAACTGACTGTTTATACTTAGCATACATGCTTGTACCATCAGGCTAATTGGGTATCCAGATGGATTAGTTCATAATGTCATGTTCCATTTCTGCAATGTTACAATAAATTGAATTTGTATAATTTAGTTTCTGTTACTTTTCTGCACATTTTTTGGCTTTTAATATCAGGTGTGTGTTAAGTTGGTGATTCATCGCTCCTTTTCCTGATTCATTGACGGTATGAAGTCAATGAATTCCGTAGAAGCGAGAGATCAAATTGGCATGGGGACTGGGGTTCAAAACATCACAGCTGTGCAGCTTTTTGGAGCTGATTTTTGCTACACATGGGATCAGAATCATGTTTGCCTTTGACGTGACCTAACCTTTCTTTTTTTTCTCTCTGTTTAAGGATCTGCTGGCACACGTGGAGAAGGGCATGGGAAAGAACCTGGCTTTCCGCTGCTCCAATGCTATCAACGTCTCTGTCCAGTCTTCTCAGCAGTACATGATAGGTAAATGACCACTGGGATGACAGGAAGTCGCTCAGTGTTAAGAAAACTCAGGTCAGATTTATAGAGGAGTATTTTCGTACTGGATCATTCAGTGAGACCAAACCTAATCAGGAGCATTTGGTCACTTGACTGCTATATTTATCCTCGCTGAATGCCATCATCCCATGCCTCATTATGCTATAAATGCGTCACTGTTTCAGACATGCATGCATGCAGGCTGTTCTCTGTGATGCTGACGTAGGTTGACTGGTAATGCAGAGTGATAAAAGCTTTACGGTGCATTTATAGAACCAAGCTGTCGCTGTTTTGGGTTTTATTTAAAGATGGTAATTGAAGAGAAGTCGATGTATATTTCAGTTTTATAAAAAATGCTAATGTTTGTCCCGTTGAATTTTCTGTTTGTGCAACATTAAAGACAGCATGGTGCCTTTGCTTCCATCTGCGGCCCAAAGCCAAGTCCACATGCTGGTGCCCAACAGGACATTCGACCTGAGCTATGACCTTAACTGTGCAGTCATCTGCAGCAACTTCCAGGAAAACATAGAGTTCCAGTTCTCGTTGGGCTTGAAAGCTTTAGTTCATCGATACCTAGGATCTGTTAATGCACAGAAAGCTCTGAAATTGGTTGATCCAGACTTCCAGGTACCTACAAGGGTGGGGTAAATTAACATTTATGCCATCGTTTTGGAGATCAACCCACTTAAAACTAAAAACCATGTTGTTCTACAGAACTCTAGAATGGTAGCATCTGTGGCTCCTTCACCTTCATCTGGACCCCCATCCATTGCTGCGCCGCCCAGCAACGAAACAGCCCTCATGACCCAGGAAGATCTGATGATCGCCATGGCAACCAACTTGGCATCCCTGACATCCCGCACCTCAATGGGCATCATCGTTGTAGGAGGGGTGGTAGGTTTTTAGCAAAGATGTGTTCATTAAAGTTCGACTCTGCAGTCCAAGAAGTTCTGAGCCTCTTTTTCTTTTCCTCAAGGTGTGGAAAACAGTCGGCTGGAGGCTTATTGCCTTGTCGGCTTCACTCTATGGGCTGCTGTACTTGTATGAGAGACTCACCTGGACCACAAAAGCCAAAGAGCGTGCCTTGAAGCGTCAGTTTGTGGAGTTTGCTACTGAGAAACTGCAGCTTATTGTCAGCTTTACCAGTGCAAACTGCAGCCACCAGGTCCAACAGTAAGTTCTCTGGAGTGTTGCTTGTGCTGGCTTCCAAAATACAATACTAATCACATAAAAAAATATTTATATATATATTTTTTTAATGTTGAATGAATACAAAGATTTAAAAAACAATATCAAAATGTTTTGGGATTTTGTTTTTCTGAGCCTGTTGCGTTATCATGACTTCCTCGTCTAAGCATTCTGACTGCACTGTCCGTGTTTGCAGGGAGATGGCAACAACGTTCGCTCGGCTCTGTCAACAAGTGGATCAGACACAGAAGGAGCTTGAGGAAAACATCTGTCGGCTGACAGCTAACATAGATGAGCTGGAAAAGGTCCAGAGCCGCTCCAAGATCCTGCGGTGAGTCCTTAACCCGTGACCGGGAGAATAGTTTTTACCTAGTCAGACCTACTGTGCCTTTTAGAGGCATTTATGCTTCCTAAACTTTCTTGCATTTTGTTATGTGAACTCAAAAAAAAAAGTCATTGGATCTAATGTGGATTTCACATTTTTGTCCATTTATTGCAAAAGGCTAATTGAAGTTGGTATGGATAGATCTGAAGCTTTAATCTGTGTTTTAAACATCTTTGTTTTTTGTCCAGACATAAAGCAACAGAACTAGAGAAACAACTGGAGGAATTTACGAACCAGTACTTGCGGGCCCAGCAGTGAATCACGCTCTGTAGCCTGGCTCTTGTGGAGTCGTCCTGCTGCAGTGCTGTCTGTAAATGTCAGCGGGGAAAAGTTGATCCTTTCAGTGAACAAATGTACCTAAAATGTGTCTTTATTATGAAGTTCGTTTTTTTTTTTGTTGGTTAGAAAGTGGTTCAAAATTTTGTAGATTTCACATGGAAAATTATTTTCTCCTTTTTTGAAGCCAACCAGGAACATCAGGTGCTCACAAGAAAAGCAGTTTATTAATAACGAAAAAGATCAGCCTAAATGGACTGTGGTTGTTAAAAACTACTCTCCACCTGGGGCCGACTCCTATTGGTCAAAATGCCAAATGTTGGATTCTGTAGTGTGACACTAACCTGCCTTGACTTTAATGATCAAAATGCCTTTTTTATGATTCTCTCTAAGTCCTTTTTTTGTCTGTTTAAGATAGGATCAGTTGTAAATGAAAAAAAATAATCCATGTAATGAAAGGAGGAAAGCATGTACTGTATTTTCTAACAACCCAAATTGTACAGTAAAAGTACTTAATCATCTGATATTTTATGATATTCTATTTTATTTATACATGATAAATTAGGCTGGCAGTTGCAGATCACTGCATTTTGTAAACATTTCTTTCTCAAATGCGTTGTTGAAATACTTTGAGATTTGCCAGATTCCATTAAACCTGAACTTATCTAAAACTTGTCAATCTTGTTTTTTTTTTTGTTTTTTTTTACATTTCAGTTTTTAATTCATGAAATAAACCAAGTAGATGTGGAAGGACACCATTTAATTTTCGATTTTAGATATTTACAACATTGTTTATGTTTCAAAGCTCAGATGCTGCACAAAAGATAGAGTTGGATGTTTCACTTGTAAATTGAAGTTTTCTCACCAGGGTGACCACTCGTAAACAAAAACGAGTCATCCAGGGCTCCGGTGCTACAGAATCTTCTAGCAGAAACAAGGATTCTGAGTGAAAGAGACGGATCTCTGGTGGTCGTCCGGAATTCTTAGAACCGTAGTCATATACGTAACTTTTGTTCTATTTGCGTCCCTAGAGGGTGGTGCTGAAAACAAATCCCGCTATCTTATAGCAGCCCAGGGAGCAAAGAAACTCCTGGTAGAGCGGGCCTTTGCACCAACCTGCAGCAGGTGGGATCCTGCACTTTAGATATTGCACCCTGAACATAATTCATTTAAATATGTGCCATTTCCTCACTAGTTTATTATAATTATTATTTATTTGGACTTGGACAACAGTTATTTAATCAATTCTATTGTTGAAAACATCAGGTCTAGTCACTAGTCTAGTTAAGGCACATCTGGGCACTGTCGATATTAGTGGCGGGAGTAGCGGGAAAAAGACGAGAAGAAGTGCTAGAGTGTGATGGTTAATCTTTTGTCCATGCCTGCCTGCTCCAGAGAGAACTGAAAAAAGAGAAGGAAAAAAAAACATGCATTGTAGTGCAAATAAAGTTGTCAAAAGCAAAAATAGCATCCTTTCTGTGCAAATAGGTATGGTAGATAACATCCACAATCCAATGGGACAAATGTTTAGAAAGAGGTCAGCCCCAGTTGAAACTTCCCTAGCCCACAAAAAGCTGGCCTGAGTATTTCACAGTTGTAGTGGCTGCAATATATGCCTCCAGCTACTGTGCAGAGCACAACAACTCCGGCCCCATCTGACTGTTGTTGAAACCAGGTCAAACTCAACAGCTGGTTACAAATGCGAATGGGGCAAAACCTTGGACACAAACCCAATGTTGGGCCATAAGTAACACCAGAAAATTTAGATCCCATTAGAGACGTGAAAGACTGACAGAAATGGCATGCAGCTCACCAACCCTCTTAGATGAAACAATGGCTAACAAAAAGGCAATCTTTTAGAAAAGCCACTTGAAGTCTGCTTGCTCCAAGGGCTTGAAATGGTAAGATCACAAAGCATCAAGAAGCAAAAGCAGATCCCAATCAGGCACTCGAGGAGCAAGTGGAATATGCAATCTACAAGAACCACACAGATAAAGATAGCCTAGACCATGGCCTCCCACTGGATGGTCATCAGCAGATGCATGATGACATGAGATTGCTGCCACATACACCGTAATGTCGAAGGAGAATGGCCATTATTAAGTAGGGACTGGAGAAACTCCAGAACACGGGACACTGGGGAGGGAACTGGACCCTCATTGCAGGCAGAGCACCACTGGGAAAATAGATGCCATCTATTGTTGTACTGCTCTCAAGTGAAGGTGCCCAAGCACTAATTAGACAGAGTCTGAACAATCAATCAGCCTCCCAGTGGCCATAGCCACGGCTGGAGACGTTGAGGTTTGGGGTTCCATATGACATGAGGGCCATGTGCACAGTAGGTAGCTCTAGTGCATTTATATGTTCGGTGCACTCTTGTTGACCCCAAAGACCGCAAACCGCTCTGCATTGTCATGCAGCAATCCAGCCCGTATGACTAACATCTGTGGTGATCACCTCCCTGCAACACAGAATTGGACAACTTAGTCCTGTCTTGCCAATGGCCCAAGGCAAGAAGGCACATCCACATCTCTGCGATGCCTGTGCAGGATGGCATTCAGATGAAAGCTGTTCAGCCAGCTTTGCAAATGGTGGCGAAAGAACCCTTATGCCTGGAGTCTGCAGTGGAGACAGAGACACTTTCACGCACCAAGGAAACACCCTCAGAGAAAGAGAGGCCAAATGGTTGCAGATGCTTACCCCGACTGGCAAACCTGAGAAAGAAACTTTTTGATACATTGCCCAACTGTTTAGGGCGTCCCATGAGGTTGCTCCATACTTGTTTTTTTTAGCACATGCATCCTGTTGACAGATATGTTTAAAAACGCAGTTTAGTCATGTGACTTTTCTTGTTACGATATGTGTACCGACAAATTTTGCTCTATGAACTCCATGCATGCACCAACGCTTCAGTATTGGTGGGGCCATCACTAATGGACAGCCTTGCCTGATTTTGTTGCATGTTAATTGTTCTACATTGAAATAACAGATTTTGGGATCACAGTTTCAGTCTTGTTGCAGATGATTTTGGCGATTTGCAACTATGATTTGCTTCAACAACTCATTTGAAATCCTGAGTAAAGGTTCGATATTTCCATAACTGAACAATAATACAAATTTAATGATTTTCAAGTTGTTTTTATTGAATGGGTTTCAAATTATTGTGAGGGCTGTGACTGAAAAGTAGTTATTGCATGTATGTTTCTAATTATAGAAATGGAAGTTTTTTTTTTTTACATATGATTTAGTAGCCTACACTGCCAGATGTTAAATACACCAGACTGTGGTATGAAGCGCCATCAATGATTAAAGACAAAGCTATAATTAAGTTAATCGTTTCCTAACCATCTGGGTTGCACTTATTATTTGTTCCACATCAAATAGCTAAAATGTGGAAAGTATTAAAATTTTCATAACAATAAAAATCTATGATCGACATCATTGATTAAAAGCTGTTTTATTGGTTACAATAACTCATGGTAACATATCAATATCACCAAGCTACTGTACAAATACAAAAAAAGGGTCTGGTGTGAAAAAGACTATAAAAATTATCTTATAAGTGATTATAATTCCACACAATAGCACTATAGGAGAGTTATCATGGCACCAAGTCCCCAGTATTTAATGGCTTAGAACAAAATAAATTAAATAAAAAAAAAACAATATCAGGACAGTAGGTTGTAGTCAAAGAGCAGTGTAGTTATGTGATGTTAGTGCAGCAAAGAAAAAAGGGAGCAGGGGAGACACAATGTTGACCTTTTTTTTCATAATCAAAGTAAACTGCAGCTTGATTACAGACTGAACTCATGCAGCAGTGACATGAACAACAGAACAACCTGTTAGACTAATGAGAAAGTTACATTCTCAGCATTGAGACCGAACATGTGAAAGGTTTGTAATACAAGGCTACCTGATTATCAGTCATAAAGCTGAGGTTGGGGAACAAACAAACCAAAAACATCCGGGGAAGCAACAATGATGAAAAGTTAATTGAAGTCAAGCACCGTTGTTGGTTCTACAGTTTTTCTGTTTGACCTGCATGAGTGACCAGCACAGGCACATGGGAGTGTTTCTATTCCAGGCTCCAGCTGCTAACAACGCTAAAACATACAGCGAAAGTGATTGCTAAACTAATATTTTATATGGACACTTACTCAGCATTTAAGGGCCATGGCGTTTTTGTTTTATTTAGGGATGGGGTTCACATAGACTCTTTACGGAATATGGAAACAGTAAAACCGTGAGATAAAAGGAGCAGCTTAACATTTAGGGAAGATGAGAGGAAACATCCAACGGCAAACACATAATACAAAGCTACTTCCCAACGAGAACAGGAAATAATCTAAGGCTGTTAGAAATTATGCAAGGAACGTTTGCATTGCAATTTCTGATGACTCTGTCAATAAAATTAACCAAAAAGCTACAAAAAATGTAATGAAGAGGTTGGAGGTAGTGCAGCAGGAATTAAGGGAGAACAAGTTACATTTTTTTGGCACAACCTACATAACATTTATCGGCACGGATATTTTTTTTACAATAATCTTGGCAGGCTTTGCGTTTAAATTTAGTTTTTTTTTTAGTTATGAATAAAGCTAAATATAATACCAAGTGACTGAAGAATCAGACAAGAACCAGGTTTCTGTCCGTTTTCACTCGACACGTACAGATCAACGACAATGAGTGACAGTTTGAGGCAGACGATTAGAAACAGACCCCAGTGGTAGGTGAAAAACACAAACTAAGTACTTATTTTTTATGCATGAGCCAATATAAAAGTACAGTGAAATCACTTTGAATAAGGATTTTACATTTTTTACTCCAAAACTGAAATAAAACATGTTTAAAGTGATTTGGCTATTTAGAATAAGCACTCTCTCAATATAGCGCTTATTGTGCAGAATATTATCCCCCTCTTCCTTCTGATCTTTGGAGAGCATAACAAGCGGGTTATTCCGTTAGACTATCTACTAACTAGCCTGCAATTGTCTGCTTTACAGACAAACTACTAGTGAAATAACAGTGGGTTTTAAAACAGTGCTTCACTGATAAGAGGAAGAGACTGGTCATTATAATCCTTTACATATCTTAATATCTCTAGGTCTAGTAGCACTTTTTCAGCCAGCTGACTGGCAGTGTGCAGCAGATGATGATTTTGTTACTTAATTATCAAAACAGCTGGGGGTGGAACCACTTTTTTGAACTATTGTCCTGAATGGCGGCCCAGGAATTGATCCAGCTGCATTTGACTGATCTATCCTAATAACAGCAGTATCGCAGAGTACTTGTTGAAATACTGAGCAGATGGCTCTGAATAGCTTGAGACTTAAAAATGATCCACTACTTAGTTGAGTTTGTCATTTCCCACAAAGGAGTTTAAAATATTAATCCTGCACATGTACGCTTGGCTCACTGTGGTCATATTCAGCCTGAGATTTTAAAGGACATAACAATTCCTACTGCATTACAGTCTTCACTTAAAAACCCCTAAAAATGTTTAGATTCAAAAAGGACGCAGCAGGTTACATTTTATAGTGGTGGGAAAACAATATATGAATGCTTGTAAAAGAAAATTAGACCCAACACATTGGTTTCCTGTCCTAAACTCGGGTGAATGTTTCTTCAAGCATCTTGTTGAATTTGGAAAGTAATTACCCCTAAATGATTTCCTGTCTCTTTGAATCCATACCATTTAGTTCTCTTGATTCAATATATGAACATAGTCAGACTTGTTAGCTAAAATGACCCTGGTGGCTACGAAGACTGATTGTGAAAAAGAAGCAGCCAACCTGTTGGATCAGACAACAGATTGGGTTGAAAGTGGCACTTGAGCAACACTAGCCAAAGTATTTTTTTTTTTTTGTCTTTTTAATTTTACAGACTAGTATTCGGTTCACAGCTCAGGGTCTGTGGAGCACATTGGCACAGATGAATGAGGAAGTAACACTTGTACATCATCAAATTCTCCCCATCCCTCTACCTTCCTCTACACAAGCCCTCAACACTCAAACACTCCACATTTCACATCCTGCAGATCTCCAAATCTTGTACGGTTACAAGCTTTCCCTGCGGCTCATAAGCATTCCCTCAGGATGGGTTACTTGAAGAGTGAAATTACACAAAACCGTTAAAATAAAAATATATCGACCATAGAGAGGGATGTTAGGGAATAATCGGCAGCTGATCAAACCTTGTTAGGTAATACAAACTTTACTGTATTAGTTAAAAGCAGATTTATATACTAAAAAAAAGGGTTTAACAAGCACTGAGGAGCTGCACATGGTTTTCCTTTTAGCATGTGTCTTAGTGTTCACTAGTATCCGTTTGCGCTTCGGTTGGAAAACAAGAACTTTCTCGCTCACAGGGTTCCCAGACTCCATGTTTCTAGATTTCACAGTTTTTGTTTGAGCCATGGTTCAAGTATATATATATATACAAACAATCACTAAAAACTTTAGAGATTTTTCCGTAGAGGTCAGGCTGTACTTATTGTAACTAGACAAGAGACGAGATAGTAAAACCGTCTGATGACTGACAAACTAATTGATGGATACCTGGGTACCTAAATGGACAAATAAATGGATAAAAAGATGGATCTATGTATGGGCTGACAGACTACTGAAAGGGTTGATAAACTGATGGATGGCTGAAATGAATAGGTGGGTGGATGCAGCTAAAGTATGGCTAGAGATCTGGATGGATGAATGGACAGATTGACAAATGAGTGGATACAAATGGCTCATCAAGTAGACAGCTATATTAGCAGATGGATGCACTCATAAATGGATGGATGATTGAAAGATTGATGGGTCTGTTGGATGAAGGATAAGTGGATTGACGGGTAGATGAATTGGCAGTTGGATGGGCTAATGTTGGCATGGATCAAGAGCAGGTCAAATGGACAGGTTGGTGGATGGAGGGCTGCACTGACAGAAGCGTAATGGATGAAAGGATGGTTGGACAGACTGGCAGAGGGACAGGTTTCATGAATGGATGAACTGATTAGAGGATGGATTAATGTTTGGATGATCAAACTAAGATATATGGGTGAACACAAACTTTGATTTCTGTCTTCTACTTAAAACCCAAAATTTCTCATAATGGAGCTGGAAAAGCTGTTCAGAGAAACGATTTGTTTTTTTCAAAATGTATCTAGGCTTGGAACACAATTATACTAAATTCTAGACTGTGCAGGAACAATATGAGATTATAGAAACAAAAAAGGAAAGTATTTCTATTATTGATGCTAATTTTACACTCTTATTATGAATGGTATCCTAAGGCATAATAGAGAGCATTGCCTGATCTCCTTAAGCACAACCCCTCTTCTATCCAGCCCAGGGCTTTATATTCATTTATATTCAGGCACCTGAAACAGCTGATGGGTAGGTCCAACTCACACACAATCTAAGCTTTTTAAATGCAGGATTGACGACGAGAAACCTCATATCACGTTTACATGTGCACCATGGCTCACGTTGGTATTACGGTTTGTGAGTGCGCCTCTAGCTGTCTATTACGTGTTTGTTCCTAACTAGTTAGATTAAAAGTTTATGATGCTTTTTTTGGTGAGAAACAAAAATGCTTTTAAGTGTCAATCTTAGGAAAAAAAAAAAAAAAAAGACATGTTTGTGTCCTTTTTTGTAGCAGGCTTGCTATGGCACTGGTGTGATTTAAATTGGCACACATCTTCTCTGTTTTTGCTCACACCTTGATGTTTAAAAGGAGTTCAATCCTTCATTCAGGAGGAAAAAAAAACAAATCAACATGGCAAGCTCTGACATAATTTTTCCTGTTTTTCTCAGGTTCCTGCAGACTGCCGCAGTCTTTTTCTGTCCCAACAGGAAGCTCTTGTAAATCCCATTTTGTCAGGATTGCAGGGAGAAACTAGTTAGGGCTTGGATTCCTGTCATCGTTTCACCTCATATCCAACGTTCATCCCAATGTCGAAGCAAAGATGAATCCTTCTGCAGACCGCAGGGGGGATAGGATTATTACAACCACTCTTAACCAGTCACTCTGCAGTGGATTTCCATGGAATGGTGGTCCAATGTTCAGTGGTCGATTTGAACCCACCAATCCAAATGCCTAAACTTGAACAGTTGCTACTTTGGAGTTTAAGCTTGATCCAGACAAAAAACATTTATATATATATAAAAACAAAATAATTATTGGGATGAAGCTCCTCCAGGCATCACAGCCTTAGGATCCGTTCAAAAATAATGAATGTTTAAAGCCCCAAAAAAATAAAAAATAAAATCTTAACAAAAGAAGTTACATTTTGTCTCGAAACTGATTGATTAGCCTTGCTGATTTTTTTTTTTAAAGGTTACTGATATTTCTGTTATTCTATATCTATAGTAAACCAAATAAAATAAAAAGCAAGAAAAATAACTACAAAAATATATACATACACACATTATATATGCATATATGATGCATATATACACACATAATGCTATACATATATACTGCCTTTATATATACATTTACATATTACACATTGATGATCATTTTTTTTGTAACCATGACTGTTGATGCACTTTAATGCCCTTTAGAGGAAGAAAATAAGTTATATTCAATATTTTTTGATGATTTCTTGGTTTAGATTGGACTTTTCATAAAGGTTTTTGTTGTTCTAGAGCCGGATGGGGGAAAAATAAAAATTGTTTGAGAGTCTTCCGCTGGGAGGGATGAAAAGGGCTTTCAAAATGCATTCCCTCGGGTCCAGCCCAGCAGATGAGTCGCATGGGGGCTGCAGAACCAAGGTGGCAGGCAGTGATTGAGGACATCAGGCCGGACATTTGGTTTAATTCCAGATCCGGAGGAAACTGTCCCAGGAGCCGGTGGCCACAGCCATGCCGTCGTTTGTCACTCCTAAGCAGCTCACTCTGTTGTCGTGGCCTGCAAGGACGCCTGGAGGAGAGCGAACACAAAGCAAAGCCGCAAGATGGTCACATAATCTAAAGGTACAATGGAAGAATGAAAAATCTTTACATTTTAACATGTTGCATTAAAAAAACAAGTCAGTTTATTAGGATTTCATCTTACGAACCAACTAAAAAGAAGCGTATAACCATAAAGTGGAGGAACTATCTTAAAAAACAAACAAAAACCTGACATCTGTGACTTATTTATATTCTGCCTCTTTTAGTCAGGTTTTGTCAAATAAAATCCAGTTCAATAAAGTGCCATGAGTTGCCCTCAACTAAATAACTTGAGTGCTTTATCATTTAAAATGCCCAGATAATGTTTTTGCTGACCCAGATTCTGGTGATGCAGTCAGTTCAATGCATGTTATATAAAACAAAGAAGAAAATGAATAAGTCTTCCATTTTATGTCACAGACTGATTTTTAGTCAAAGAACTTTACCCTGCAATATCCACATTAATCTAAATGTCTTTCTTGTAATGGAGGGTCGGGCTGGGAACAATTTTCGGTCAAAAAAACAAATAGCGATGACAGCAGCTTAAAGGAATAGTACACCCAAAACATGATTAGCCTTCATTTTCTACTCACCCCCATGCTGAACAACACTCTGGAGTACTTTTTTGATATCTCAAATGCATCTGGAGATCTGGGAGGCTTCTTGCTGTCTGCTGACATTCAAATAATGGAGGTCTACGGTGCCCGAGACAGAAAGGTCCATAAAAGTCCACAAAAACGTGTCAATATTCCTCCATACTGCTCGTCCAATGTATTCCAAGTGTCCTGAGTGGGTAGCATCCAGAATTTACTCGAAACGAAGTCATTTAGAATGTTTTTAGAGCATAAACAGTAGTGTATAGTATTTCCTGAAAGCGCGCGCCAGCGCGTTCAGGACGCTACGGAAGCCGGCAGACCAAACCAGATGAAAGTGCGCATTCAGCTTCTGCTCTGCCGATAATGCAAGCGTAGAAGAAGAAATGTGCTGTTTACCTGTGCAAAGAAAGAAACAACGAAAGAAAAATGTCTGAGGACTTCAGTGTTGAGGAAGAGCATGAGTTCTTTGCCGAGCTGAATGCGCTGGTTTGGTCTGCCGGCTTCCGTAGGCTCGTGAACGCGCATGTGCGCGCTTTCAGGAAATCCTATACACTACTGTTTATGCTCTAAAAACATTCTAAATGACTTCGTTTCGAGTAAATTCTGGATGCTACCCACTCAGGACACTTGGAATACATTGGACGAGCAGTATGGAGGAATATTGACACGTTTTTGTGGACTTTTATGGACCTTTCTGTCTCGGGCACAATAGACCTCCATTATTTGAATGTCAGCAGACAGCAAGAAGCCTCCCAGATCTCCAGATGCATTTGAGATATCAAAAAAGTACTCCAGAGTTTTGTTCAGCATGGAGGTCAGTAGAAAATGAAGGCTAATCATGTTTTGGGTGTACTATTCCTTTAACACAGAACTCCCACGACCGTCAATTTTGACGGTTCTGAGATTTTAAATGGAAAGAACTTTATTTACATTCATCATATGTTTCTTATGTTAACTGACTTTTCCTGTTTCTATATTTCCCTTCATTTTCACGTAATTTTTTTAATAAAATAAAAACGTAAAAAATAAATATGGTTAATTCTAGCTCGATCTCCCACAGCCGTCATTTTGACGGCTCTATTAGTTGCATTGTAATTTCTTCCCGCGGCTGGTTGACGTTTGGTACTGCTGCCGAGCAATCGACATCCTACCTGGAACTCTTTGGCTAATACGGAAAAAATGGCTTTCAGAAGAAATTTAACTGCGAAACAGGCTTTAGAAATGCTTCAAAATATTGATGATAGTTATTCAGGTTGAGAGGGAGAGACCAATCAGGAGGACTGGGTAGGAAGTGGCTCAGATTGTGACAAAGAGTCCAAGGATGATCGTATCAGTGACCCATCAGGCAATAGTGAAACTTTTGTTCAAGTTTTGGATAGCGCTGCCCACACCTCAGCCGGTACACTCGGTGGCCCAAAAGCCAAACCAGAGCCCATGGTCTGCTATAATCACACACAGGTTGGCATGCCGACCATATGCCCTCCGCAGGGTACAAGCCCCTCCCCTGCTGAAGAGCCGCTTTGGAGAAGCAAAGAAAACAGTGCAGGGTGCTTCAGCATTGCACAAAAAAAACGTATCATATGATGTTTGTTACAAATGTGAAAAGGTCGTCCGGGGAAAATGCGTGGGGTTAAAGTATTTCTGTAAATAAAATTGTAATTTTAAACTTCGAACCTGTGTGGTAAAACAGACCTATTTATTTTACCGATTTATTTTTTATACAAATTTAGACCACAGATAATAATAGCATACAATAGAGCCTTTAAAAATATATATATTTGACCTGATATAAGGTCCACATATCCACAAAGAGTTTATATCGCACACTAGAACCATCTCAGTTGATGACATCATCACTACTAATGCATTCCATCGGGAAAAATGTCACCTGTCAAATTGACGGCCAGTGGGAGTTCTAGTAGGATCAGAATTCTGGGAGTCCCAGTGTTAAATATGTAAAAGCTGGATATTACAGTCCAAATGAGAGCAGAGAGAAAAAGAAAATAAATAGCTATTGGAAATTGATTTTGCTCATTGTTCTGCTTTATTAAGCAGAGAGAGCAGAAACCTCCTGATCAGACGTCATACCTGCTCGGTCGCCTTTTAGAGTGTCCCACACATTGCAGTTGAAGTCATCGTAGCCGGCTAAAAGCAAGCGCCCACTCTTGGAGAAAGCCACAGAGGTGATGCCGCAGATAATGTTGTCGTGGCTGTACATCATCAGCTCCTGGTCGGCACGCAGGTCAAACAGCCTGCAGGTGGCGTCGTCCGAGCCTGTGCCAAACGCATTTCCATTGGGGAAAAACTGCAAGAGTAAAGCAAAACACCAAACGTTACAGCTTTAACAGCTCAGATGACACAATGGTTGACATCTTAAAAAATAAGTTTCTTATTTTGATTAAATAATGTTTGCAGATCTAATATCAGAAAAGAGAACCATCCTCCTAACCAGACGCTATTTGAGAGCCAGGGTTAAGGACTCACACAGACGGCGTTGATGTCAGACACGTGGCCGGTGAACGACTGTCTGCACATGCCGTCACGGATGTCCCACAGCTTGGAGGTGGCATCACAAGCTCCTGACACAAAGGTCTTGTAATCTGGGCTAAGGGACAGGCTCATAACGTCACCAGTGTGGCCGCTGAAGGAGGTGGCTTGCTGGCCCGTCTCTATGTCCCACAATGCACTGCAAGGAAGAAAAAAAAAAATGAGAAGAGAAATATTGTTCTGATAAACCTAACGAAACTTTAAACTTTGCAATTAATCGCAGCTTAAGAATAAAAAACTGTGAAAAGAAGTTTCCAATGGTTAAAGTGTGAAAATAGCTGCGGTGTTAGAAATGTGGGGGCTTCTCACCAGGTGGTGTCGCCAGAGCTGGTTAGTATCTGGTTGTCATCCAAGAAGCGGCAGCAAGACAAATAACCTGAACACAAAACAAGGAATTGGAATCAGAAGTCATTCTTTCTAATCCGATCCTTTGAAGAGCCAAATAAAATTTTTTTTTTTTTAAAACCTAAAAGGTTCATTCCCCAGGTAAACAGAAGGGACATTTCTGAAGGTTTTACAAGCATTTGTGAAATTAATTATCTCAAAGAAAAAACAAAACAATATAGGTTCCCCTACCAGTGTGTCCAGGTAGCTCTCGAGTGACCCGGACGTTGCCCTCTCGGGTCTTCAGGCTGTATATCGAGCAGATGTTGTCCAGACCTCCACAGGCCACGTAGTTCCCAGAGGGGGCGTAGGCGCACGTCATCACCCATGAAGAGCGCAGCGGGATAGCATGCATCTAAGAGTGAACAAAAGTCAGCAAGGGACATTAAACAAGATTTAATCCACAGCCTATTTCTCTAAAGAATTTAGTTTTTGCACAATCTAGTTTTATTGCAATCCCACAATCTTACTGATAAATTAGTTTTATTTATTCTCTGACTAAAATGTTCCTTGAGGTAAATGATGGCAAGAAATCAGGTTTCTGATCTAGGCCTGGTTGTTTGTAGATATTTGTATAATACTTCCTTACTTTCACATGTATGTGAACTTCGATGACATAATTCTATTCTTAATTTGTAGAGTCTAATTTGTATATGGACCCACATTCCCAGCAAATATATATATTTAGTAAACATATTCCACATTGTTTAGGCTCATAGTCAGATACAGTCTGACCTCCAAAGGTTTTCTACGGGGCTGACGTGTCAAACTTACCATCTGCCATAGAAATTATTAGAACATCCAAATTCACTGGTTTAAAGGTGTGACCAAATACTTTTGGCCATATAGTGCATAAAGAACCAACATGCATTCACATTTTCTTTAGAACCCCCTCCCCCACAAAACAAAGAAAACAAGAATTTTAGACAGAAAGGAAAAACAAGACAATTTGCTAATATTTCTGATCAAATGTTTATCAGTTAGCAATTCAAATACCTAAATTGTAATTTCTCTGTGTAAATAAAACTTTTTTTTTTTTTTTTAAATGGGGGGATTCTTTTAATTTTCCCCAAGAAAAATGCTGTACAAAACTGTCCATTTAAAACTGGAGCAAGCCATCACAAGCCACAAACATTTCAGCCAATCCTCACCTTGTTTGTCGTGTAGCTGTCCCAGATGATCAGTTTTCCATCCTGCGAGGCACTGACCAGTAACCTGACAGCAGATGAAGAACATCAGCATGACATTAACTCACGAGTAGATATTTCATCATAATCTAAGCTACATGCACCTAGTTCACTAAAAGCGATGAGAAGCAGCCGCCTTACACTATGTGCTGCCTGAACTATTAAGAGGTTAATCAGCTGTAGAGTCACCACTCCCTGACTGTTCCTGGTCCCACCCTATGTTATATCCACCTTAAGCAGAGATGAGAGTTCAAAAACAAAGGGGGGAAAATTGGTGTGCGGTGGGGGGGTGTAGGGTTAGTTTTAGATGCAGGAACCGCTGGAACCCCTCCCTCCCTTCTCGACGGGGTCCGGGTACAGGAAGTGGCTTAATGGTGCTGCGGTATAATCAAGAGGAGAGCCATCATGCTCAAATGTCATTGGCTGTTTGCAAAACAAACACTGTGCTCACACCTTCAACCACAGACATGTTTTAAGGACTGAGAGCAGCCAGAGATGAGGCCTTTACACATGGAAGTCATTAGCTTCTCATTGTATCCTTAGAGAATATACAAAGGTGGATCAAAATCAATGGGTCTGCACGCTTTTTTAAAGAGACATTTATAACTGATTATTTTTAATGAACCCTGTGTGCAAAGGCCTTTGACCTCAGAGGATTTTTTATTGAAAAATAACAAACAAAAAACATTTACTTGTATTAATTAAATGCGGTTTAAATCCAGATTATATTAGGATAATACACTTGTGGAAAGAAAAGATGCTTTCTATGAGTCAACAATAGTGTACAGCATGCATACACAGTGTAAACTATAATCCTAGCTTTGATTTGTTGCGCCTCTCAGTGCATATTGCAGCAAACTGTGAATAAAGCAGTTTGTAAGAACTAGTTTAGTGAACATTTGCAGCCTGCAGCATCTTGCAATGTTAAATTTGCAAGAAAAATTCTTAGAAGCTGCAGCTCTAATGCAAAAAGCGTTTTTCTGCTTCGGCCAAATATCTTTAATGTGTTCTAAGCGAGGAGCTAAAACAGTGCTGTTGCCTTAATTGTAAAGTGACAGTAAAAGGTGATTATGGGAATATTAGTCATATTAGTAGAGACTGGAGTACGGTAGTAATGGGAGTACGGATAGTTTTACAGCCCCAGACCTGGGACTGTCGTCACTGCCCCAGTGCATTGCATTGATAGAGAAAGAAAGGATCACAAAACACAAAGATTTTATTACTACTGATTTAAAAAAGCCTTTGGTGCCGACATGTGCTCTGCACGGAGCTTAGCTGCACAGAAAAACTTTAATCAGAACTTTTCAATGCTACTTCTACATTGTCTGAATTCTTTGATGGTGCAAACATATACAGACAGAATGACAGATTCTAAAATAATAACAGTCCTCGGGCTTCGTTTATTAGACTTTGGATAAACTCTACACAGATTACACTGGAACCAAAAACAAATTAAAGAAGCAAAAGGAGGTAAGGGAAGGAATCAATTAAACATAACCTAAACAAAAGTTTTACATCCAGTGTAATTTGAATATAAATTTTGCAACCAAAATGGACATTTACATAAGTTTCTAGAAATTGAAGCACGTATAAGAAATCTAATCACCTTGAGTCACTCCCCCAGTGCATTGCATAGATCTTAGCCAGGTGTCCCCTGAGAGTACGTCGCGTCCGCATCTGTATCCGGCCCACTGAGTCCAGACCAGCTGTGATCTGCATAAACACAGGAAGCAGAGAACTAGAGAACCAACCTGATACCGGAAGTGGACACAAGCTGAGGCAGCGAAAACAGGACAGTATATTAACAATAAAGCCGGGACAGATCACCAATGCTCAACAACTTATGTACCAGTTTATGTATAATAGTATAAAATGTGAGATTACATGCATCCTGTTAAAACTTCAAATTTGACTTTATATTAGAATATATGACCCAAACTATAACACAATAATGTTCACAGTTGTTTCATTACAATTTTCAGAGGACCTGAACATAGCTCTAAGATGTTTAGAGAATCTCTTTAAGTTTTCTTTGTTCAGTGATGCTATACAATTAGCATCAGTTATTCACTCTGATGGACACCATTGACCATTTTCTTCCAGAGGCAACTGGTGGTACAGGACTTTATATAGCATTGTCAACAAAGGAAAGTGGGTTGAATACAAAACCAATCAGACTACTTTTAATAGAAAAAAAAAATTGGAAAAGAATTTTCTTTTAACTTCACAATCATGCATTTCTTTGCTTTAGTTTATAATACATTTTTAATAACTTTCAGATCTGTGGTAGTAACACAAATCAATCCAGCAAAGCTAAAGGGAAATGCTCCACCAGTTACCATGGGTACCAATCAATAGGAGCATTAATTCAGGCTGTTAAACTTTATAACTCAAAGTTAGACTTCACCTGAATACATAGAAAAACATTTTATTTCTGAAAATTGTTTGATAACTTTAAACTTCATTGCATATTCCATTTTAAAATATCAGCCGCAGGATTGTACCATCCATTAGCATTTACACTGCTGTACGCTGGTGTTGGTCATTCTTACACATATTGGTGCGATCATTAAAACATGTCCGATATTAATAACCAATGTTTATTTTAATCTAGCTGTTGTTGATCATTGTGATTATAATGCAGTAAAGGATTTTGGGCTTTTAACAGAAGCAATATCAGCACTGTGTTCAGTTACTAAAGGGTAGAGAAATGTATACTGGTTATTGGCCATAAAGGCAATGCTGACATCGTCCAACAACATATCAGTGCATCCTAAGTTCTACATACAGCACACCATCTTCAGTAAAATATTTATCTGTTCACCATTTTTAACCTGTTGAAGGAGTTCGGTCTAACTCTGCTTTTCCAGAATCATCCCCAAAGCTGAACATCTTCAACAGGTGCTGCATGTGCATCTATGCAGAGTTTTGTAGTTTAGGAAATGTGTCAAAGATCAAAAGTGGGAATCTCTTTTTTTTTTTTTTTACTTAAAATTTTTCTTTTAATATTTACTGCGGATGCACCTTAAATCCTTAACACATTTTCCCTGGACATCTTTATCAGCTTATCCAGATTTTGCTGCAGAGTATGCTGGGTTGTTCTTTTTTTTTTTTTTTTTTTTTTAAGCCCGTGTGCACGAAAAAAAACAACAAAAAAGCTTCAAACTTGGCTTTTTTTTTTTTGCTTTGTCTTCTCCATAATCAGACTGCTATATTAAGTAGGAAAGCCATGCTGCATATTTATTCGTGTCTGTCCCTCTCATCTCTCTCTTACTTCCGCTTACTGGGCTGGAGTATGTACATAGAGTAATCCCATCAACTGTAGGGAAAATGTAGCTATAGTCCCACCGGTTTTGGTTCCGATAGCGTTAAAACTTTTGTATAAATATAAATAAGAGTATCCTAGATAGTGGTACTTTGCATTTTATTGGTTATTACTAAGAATTATTACAATTATTTAAGGATGTTGTAAACATAAGAATGGAAAACATTGACCAAATTACTCATAGCGCCTTAATAACCTGCCACAAAATGAAAAGGAATTTGTTATTGTTCAAATTTAGAGGGAATCATACCTGCGACAGAGTGGAATCACTGCAGGCTTTCCTGGCATCCTGCAAGGAGAGATCAACTGTGATTACAATCGTTATCAGGATGGAGAAAGTACATTTGCACTTTAATCATGTTTCTGTCTCGCACTGACAATAAAACATGTATAGAAATGTTCCTTAAAACTATAGCTGTAAAGTATAAGACGTTCAAATGTTAAGAATAATTTTGTAACAAATGGAAACGTTTATTTACCCGGATCTGATTGCGTAGTTGCTCTGCTTCCTGCCGCAACTGTTCCAGCTCGCTCATTGTCCCCGTTAGATGCGTTCAGGACGCACTCCTCTCTAAACACTGGCTAAGTTAAGGAAATACACGTGTGTGCTTGCACACATACACACACACACCCTCACTCACTCACTCACACATACAAACACTTTGCCAGCTGACACCTGCAACACAGAGACAGAAATACTCTTTAAGTTCAACAGGTAGATGGAAAGAATAGCAGCTGAAGACAAAGAGAGGTTTCCTGTTTTGGTTAGGATGGGTTAAGCTCTAAGGCTACAATGCTGCCATCCAGACCCACCAGGGAGGATTTCAGGGACTGGGTGGCAGCTTGGAAGGAGGTCTGTCTCTTCAAACATCCTCACTCTGGTTCAAAAGGCCATCCGAACTGGGCCCCGACCTTTCCTTACTCAATTGGCCTTTTGTGTCGCCGCACTGCGCTGCTGGCATGGCCCACTGCTGAGCGTGCAAGCTCTGAACCACTGTCTGCTAACTGTGTGGGCAGGTCAGCATTGTTTATTAGTCAAAGTGAATAACAGAAGAAGAAACCATTTATGAGTTAGCGTACATTGTGTCAGCATGTCTGTGAGCGTCATATTAAGCATTTATTTGCACATGCATGCTTGTGTATTTCTGCACGAGCAAGTTGCCACTTCCTTTACCTTGGGGAGCATGAATGTGGGTCACAAAGCACTCAGAGATTTCTCTGAGATCTTTGGACAGCCTTTTCTCACAGTAATCCATCATACTGAGATTAAATCTTTTATTTAATCTATAATTCAACCACTGGGACTAACGCAGGCTTTCACATGTCCACAGGAAACCACTTGAACATATTCGCCCTTATTACATAATAATAATCTACTGATACCATTAATAATTCTTAAGATTTTTACCTTGATAAGCTAATTTAATTATTCCTCCATCGTGTCAAATTACCCTGCTCAGCGCGTTCAGCTGACCATGACTGATGCCGCTCTGACGCAAGCTGGTGGGAGGAGCTTAGCAGCAGCCCGCCTCAGATGTGTCTCTGCTCTAAAACAGCCATCTATCTGTTATACTACACGCCTCCATAGGCTGACGCACCACAGAGGGCTCCTTGTGCTTCAAATGGGACATTAGAGATCAACTCACACAGGTTTTTTGTTTTTTTTTTAATATAATAATGGCAATTATTTTGACATCAGTCAAAATGATCCCGGATATGCGCTTCTGATTTTGGATGAATCTTGTAGCCAAAATTTTAGTGGTATTTTTTTTCTCCTCTCCCTCTATTTACATGATAAAAATAACACAAAGACAGCATACGTTACAAAAGTTCCAATTTAGACTTTTATTAACAAATCAAACTAAATGAAAATGGATAGCTATTGGGGGCACTTTATTATACAGCTCTATACTTAATGTATACTTTTTCTGTAGCTGTGCAATTTGAGGCACAGAACAAGAAAAATCAAGACAAGAATATGGTGCATTGCTTGGGGAAAGGATGACGAAGGCAGAGCGTAGCGTACGAGAGCTGTCCATTGTTTGGAATGTGCCCACCAGCTATGGCTGATGGGTATATGCCACACAATCAGACGTGGGACTCTGCGACACCAGCAGGAGCTTTAACTTCTCTGTAATCAAAAACTTTAAATGGATCCATCCTGATTATATCAAGACTTTTAAAACATTTATTTAACCTTTATTTTACCAGGAAGAGTCCCACTGAGATTAAAACCTCTTTGTCAAGGGAGTCCTGGCCAAGAGGCAGCAAAAAGTACATTATACTTACACAACAGCACAATTAAACAACAATTACAATTTAAGGGGGCTTTTCCAAACACTTTAGAGTGTTTAATGTTATAGATTCAGCTACTTTCCCTTTTTGTTATAATTGAAAGTATCTAGGTTGATTCACTTTAAGTAAATTTGTCAAGTAGAACATATTAATACAATCCTTCCTGCAAATGATAAAGATCCTGCCCCCAACAAAATCGTAGTTTAGTGACAGAGTCCCTTTTCCTTAATGAATAATGAAGATCATTAATCATACATTGATTATTAATACAGTAGTTCAAGAAAAGTTAAAAAACAATCCACTGAACTTTATTTCCAAGTTGGAAGACGTTTCACTTCACATCCAGGAAGCTTTTTCAATTCCAAAAACTAACTTTTTTGGAATGACTATGACCTGGATGACTGAAAACCTGACCAGCATATTAATACAGTAGGTTTATCATTATGTATAATTTATAACAATGACACTCTGCCTTTATTTACAAAACCTGCATAACAAAAACAGTTTGTAGGTTAAAATAAACAGACAAAAACAGTTGATAGTCTTTTACTTCATGTTCTGACGTGCAGATTCTGACTGATTACTATAAAACATAAGACATGCTGCAAGTTTTCTTTAAACAAAAGTTAAAAAAAATCTAACAGAGAATTAGGATATTACATTATACCCAACTATTATTTGATAAAAAGTTTATAGAAAGTTTATCAAAGTAGAGCATGTAAGCTGGTAGATTTCTAGAAAAAGATGGACTGTCTCCTCATTTAATATGCATAAAAGGAACCTTAATGCATCTCTCCCTGTTGGAGAGGATTTAAATGGGAGATCTACCAGTTCTGACTTCATATTTCGTTAGTTAAAGGCATGCAAAGTGTGTAAACTGTCAATTTCTACCTCATCAAAGTTAAAAAGTGGGAAGAACAGGAAAGAGGAAAACGCAAAGAAATATCTAACACTATTTACTGTCATAGAGGTAAATTATTTTAGTTTGGTTTTGGAAGTTGACTGATGAGTATCGATTCCACTTAATTTCCCAAATTGTTAATGTTAACATTCATTCAGAAGGGCTGTGATGAAGCCAGACATGCAGAAAATTACCACTAATATCAAACAGAAACAAAAATGAAATCAATTTAAAAAAGAAAAAATAGTTTTTCTTGACTGTTTAAATATATATATATATTTCAAATTAGCCTTTATTTAAGCATGATAGTCTCACTAATATTAATGAACCTCTTATGTTTTGAAATATTCTTCACTTTAGCCTTTTTCTAATTACATCATAACTATTTCTCTTATTTTTATTTATTTTGCATTAAAACATGGCCGTCTAGCGACAGTAACCACTTTCTCCTCTCAATCATCAAAATAATATCAAACATTGGCCAATATTAAATAGAGATAGACAGAAATGTCGGCCAGACCTTTTTTTCTTGTATTGGTATCGGACACATGCAGGCGTTCTCAGATTCATCGGCACATTCAGCAGCCATGCCTTGAGATCACATGCAGAGCACACATTGCTGGTCTGTTTGATTTGTTAATTAATGTTTAACATGTAAATGTCATAATTGTGTCTTTTTTTCATGTAAATAGAGAAAGAAATAACAATATTGGTGTTTAAGAAAAAAAAAAGTAAAGAAAAAACAAAACTGCGTCAATCGATCTATAATATTTACCAGGAGCTAGAAATCCCCATCCTTTGAATGGACCCTTGGTGCTAAACTATTCAACATGCCTCCCTTTGCTGTATGATATGACTGTATGACCATATAAGCCTTTATTATGAGTTGATAAAACTACTGATTTGTTTTTAGATTTTTTTTTTACGATTTAAAACAAAAATCAGTGGAACAAGAAGATTTAGAGTTCAATCTTAACCCTATTTGAACGTAACCTTTCAAAAGAGGGCAGCTGTACCGCCAACCTTGCTTAGTTTGATAGAGAGGTGGAAAGGCTATTTTCTTCCTCCGCCAACATCTCCCAGAATGCTGTGCAGCTACACACTGGATTCAGTGAATATATAAAACAGTCTATAGGACATGTTTAATATTGATATCGATCGGGTATTTATTAAAATGCTACAGAAATATGCAAAGCTCTAAAAATCATAATAAAGTATTTAAATAGAAGGATGATGTCTTTGATTTACATAATTTGGTGGTTATGCTTACCGGCATGTCGGTAGTGGTCAAAGGATGACGAATAAACAATTTAAGAAATATGTAATTTGTAAATAGAAATATTTCCATACATAGTTTGGTATTTAAAGGTTTTTCTATTCAATATAAAGAAAATTTGGTCAACTTGGTCCGTAGTTCAGAAGTAAAACAGAAAAGAGCAAAGAGAGTGAGAGAAAAAATATAACATTTTAATCATGCTTTTCTAACCCCACCCCTCCCCTGTATTTTTTTAATAAACAGTTTATATATATATATATATTTTTTTTTTTTTTTTCTCTCTCTGGGGAAAAAAAGCCCCAAAGAGTCTCTTCAATAAGGGATAGAACGTTAAAAATGTTCATCTAATCTTTCCTTTGTTGCCTAAGAAGTAAACCTACTCTATTTCAATGTCATAACATGTGAACCTCGTTCACCTGACAGAAGCATTTGGAGAATGGAGGAAACAATCAACAAAATTCCAGTAAGGCGAAAAAGGGATGCAACTTCCGTCTGCTTAACCTATTGATGCCTTTTATCGCATCAACATCAACAACTGGAAACTGAAAGAGTTTGCCCAAGCAATAGGTATTTTTTTTTATTGAGAACACTGACCACATTTTATTCATAATTAACCTGCTTCAATTAAACATTTCCCTGCAATTATATTAAACAAAACACTTTTTAATCCATAGTGCAGCCTTAATGTAGGTGTGCAGATGAATAAGAATGATTAGGATTACAGTTTTAGGTCTTGTTTCTCCAGTTTGCTTCCACACCAGTAAGATAGACTGAATTAATGAAGCAGCCATGTTTACAACCATATAACCTAAATAGGTGAAATGCATTTATATCTGAAATAGAGACCAACATTTCAAAAGAAAGGATCCCATTACTGCAGTTTTCTTAACTAGTCGCTGCACACTACTGGTCAGCTGGCTAAAAGAAGGGTCTTACCCCTCAATTACTCAATTTCCCATTAGATTTTAAAGTACCGCCTCTAATCAATAAACCTGCAGCCCAATCTAAAATCTTGTGTTATAAACATATATGAGTAAATATGAGCAAATTGTTGCACTTAAAGATGAAGAAATGCTTTTTAAAAAGAAAAAAAACCCACGTTTATATTTACTCACCATTTCAATTACTAAATCAACCGTTTCCCCCACCGTTTTTGCTTAAATGAATTTCTTATGATAATCTATCAAATAGTTTCAAATCAAATGCGAAATTTGACACATTCAGCTTTAGATCTTACCTAAACTAGTTACCACTTGTTGATGGCATGATGAAACCAGCAGACGAAATTATTCACTATTACTTCACGGTTTCACACTCAGAGAGGCAGACACCCAACCACAGACTGAAAAACTGAAAGTCGAATTATATTAAGAGACTGTGCGACATTATTGTGTGATAGTTTTATTATGATTATTATTATTCTGGGCTGCTGGAGTGGAGATGCGTCTGTGAAGCAGGCAGGGCCCCCGTCACACCACCAGCTGATACTGATAAGCAGGCGGACTGGCATGAGTATTAATAACTAGAAAACTGACAAATGTCACGCAGAGGTTTTTGTAAGAGAGAAAAGAAACAAGTAAATAGAACAGTGTTAAGAATTGGGGTAAAGGATACGCAAATACTAGTGAAAAGTAGTGAGTCGCTGATAGTTTCCGCCCTACAGGCGGTAAAAGGCCGCGTTCGGCTAGCTGTGGATTTGTAGGCAGTGGAAAGGAGGGGAAAACACACATCAAAAACACCGCTAACTGTTATTGCAAGAGCCGCAACTATTTCACGGTTCTGGACGTGTGTGAACTCCACTTAGGTCGCAAAAGCAAAAACAATAATAGAAAAATAACAATACTACTATAAATCCCGTTTTAACAAAAAACAGGAAATAGCCCTAAAAACACTGACAAGACACAGGCAACCAAAATACCCAAAGACGAGACTGCACGTCCTCACCTGAAAAAGAGGCGTTCTGGTTCGGTCCGGTTCCTCCAGTCTGTGTAGCACTAATATGTTTTCACACGACAACCATTGCCTCAGATGGGGGGAGAGGAACCGCGTTAATTTCCACACGATATAATCCGCTTTTAGGGGTCAGAAGGGAGCAGCCGCTCGGATCGGATTTGACTGAAATTTTCACCAAGCAGGCTAATCACCACACCCATGAAAGTGGGAACATGGCAACAGCCTACTCCAAGGGGTGCACGCTAGTTGACGTTGCCATGTTGAATTAGTTTAATCACACTAAACACTTATTCTACCTTTAAATGTGTTTAAACTTAGGTTAATATAAAAAAACGGCATCTGAGAGGGATGTTGTAGCTTGCTAAACATGCTTCGGAAATATGTGCAACGTTTTGTGTTCCCTCCCAGTAAAATGGTACATTCTGCCAGCCCCTCTACACTGAGGAAACCGAGTGGGATACAGGAAACAAACAGACATGTAGAAGGTTTTTTTTTTTTTTTTTTTTATTCAAGAAATTAATAGAGTAGAACCAGTGCTTCTAATGTTTACTAGTTGATTTATGTAAATATAACTTAAAACAAAATCCATCAAAAGGAAACCACATGTAAACATGTCAAGCACTTGTTTTTAAAAATATTTATAGTGTATGACTTTTCACTTTCTGGCACAAAATGGGACATTTCTTAAAGGATTTCTTAAAGCATAGAAGAAATACCTGATATTGCAAAAACTTTTTAATGCGTCTGAGTTAATAACACCAGACTGATTGGCTCCTGCCCCCAAGCAAGCAGAATAACTGTTTTGAATTCAGTCATAAAACTATACTAACATAGTCAAATCTTAATTTATTTATGCAAAACTATAACAAAAGTCCTATTTTCATTTATTTTAGCTCTATTTGAATAAACTACGTCTCAGAAACTCTGACAAACCGAAAGAAATATAAGCAACATCTTGCATTTTGATATTATTCATTCGATTGGTCTAAACACATTTCCTTTCAGTAAACTGTCATCAATAATGAAATTATTTGAAATCCCTAGCATGTTTTAACTGTAAAAGAATCAAAAGTAAGTATTTGAACCAGAGTTTCACTCTAATGAGGATGTTAATAATAATGCAAAAATTACTGTATTCACTGTAAAAGTGAATAAAAGATATCTTGCATTTTATCATTTGATGGATATCCTGTGATGGACTGGTGACCTGTCCAGGGTGTACCCCGCCTCTCGCCCATAGACAGTTGTAGATAGGCACCAGCACCCCTCGCGACCCCGTTTGGGATAAGCGTGAAGGGAAATGGATGGATCATTTGAAATCATTAACATATTTGGAGGTACAGCGGGTCTAATGTTGTCTGAACTCATACTACTTTAGCTCACCCAAACAACCTCTATATTTCTGACATCTGAGAGATTGGATTTCCCTGCCCAATTTCTTCCCACTGGTGTTATTGAAATGATGCTGATGATTGCCTTCTGCCTTCTGTGATGTCACCAAAGGCACCTGAATGTTGATGCTTGTATATAAAAGTTGTTTCAACTTAATTATGCCCCAATTTAAGACCAATAGAAAACCCAAAGCGACATCAATAGAGAATAAAAGTGACACTTTCAAATAAGAGGATTATATAAAAAAAGATTAAATGATTAATAAAATGGAAACAAATGTCGGAAATGTAACAAATAATGTTTAGATAAAACCTTCCAAGACCATGATTTTTTTTTTTCCATCTTGATTTAAAGCATCTGAAGTTTTTATTTTTTTACATCTTTTGAGAGTTAATTCCAGATTTTCGAAGCATACAAACTAAATGCTGCTTCTTCATGTTTGGTTCTGGCTCTAGCTATGCAAAGTACTTTAAAACCAGAAGACCTGAGAGGTCTGGGGGCTTGATACACCGTAAGAAAGTCTGTAATGTATTCTGGTATTAAGCCATTTTGAGATTTATTGCAAGAAGCATCCTCGATCCGCTGCAGTCTTATCGACATTTTTAGACAGACCTATGAAAACAGCGCTGCTACTGAAGATGAACACAATAATTCTTTTCTCTAGCTCCTGCTAAGGCGTTAGTCCTTTAATCGTGGATATGTTCTTTATGTGATAGGACAGCTTTGCAGTTTTACAAAGGCAGTCTTTAATGTAGATTACTATAGGTAAAAAAAGTTTGTCCTTTTTGAATCCCAGCAACAACAGACTCAAATGAAAATGGTAATGGTCACCATTAAATAAAAAGATAATTATTCAATCAAATGTAAATATTTTCAATTTCAAAGATTTGTTTTATTAAAAGGTTATTTTTTTGTCACCCTAGATTTATCAGTTTAATTTAATTTGGAAAGACATAAAAAAGCATTTAGAAATGTACTTTTGTTTTTATTAATACAGCTAATATTTCTGCCTAAAACCACCTTCACAACTCACCGAATATATAAGCCTGCTAATTTGCAAATGAAAGCTGGGTATATCTAAGGGCTTTTAGCTTCTGTTTACTAGGCATTTCTCCTTCTCCCTATTGAGACAGTCAGGTACAGTAAAGGTTTAAAGAGGATCCAAATGCAGAAACTGAAGCTGAAGTGGTTTGTAGCAGATTTAATAATAAAAACGTGGAAAATGATGCAAAAATCCCCAAATAACAAAATACAGAATTACAAAAATAACAAAGGACATCAGGGCAAACACACACAAGGAGCCAAGAAACAATGAGGAACCAGCAGAAAGTGACTGAACAGGAGTATATAAGGGGACTGACACAAGAGAGCAACAGAGGGTAAACAGGAAATACATAAGAACACAAATACAACCAGAAAACAACTCAAAATGTAAATGAAACCAAATAAAACTGAAAAAGAAAACTTAAACGGAGCAAAATCATGACAGTTAGACACGAGGCTACAATAATCTGACACTCCCTCATCGTTAACATTCAGGTTGGGACAAATTTGAATGTTCTCATCTGAGCCCTCATTATTTGGAAAGTGTTTTTGGATTTGGAATATAGAACAGTCACAACTGTAATTTAGATAGGAAGAAACATTTTTTTTATTTTTATAATTTGCATATGTTTTGTAATAAATTGTATATTATTGGCAGCAAGAAAACTAAAATATATAACTAATAAGTTAAACATAATGTAACTTTCATTTACTTTTTTTGAAAAAAAAAAAAAAGCAATGGCTTGTGTCTTTTAGTAAAACTGATTTAAATTTTTACTCACGTTTAGTTTTAAATCTAAAACTGTTTCCATTAAGCACAATTTCTTTCTATATTAAACGCTTTAGAAGTTTAGACTTACATCAAATCAAAAATCTAAAAACCCATTTCAGGATTAAAAATAGAAAAAAAGAAATGAACAACTGTTTTAATTCACTCAAGCGTTGTTATTCCAGTAGCTACTTAATAACAAAGACTTAAACTTAAACATCATCAATTAGTTAGCTTTACAATAACATCCAAAACATGCAAATGTCTAATTCTGCATTGTGCCAGGAGACAGCTGTGCCACTGCGTGCTTAGCCTGCAGTAGGCTCATTCAAAAGGATCTCTCTCTCCTTCCATTAGAACAGGATGAATTTTTCATGGGGCCAATGAAAGGGAGCAGTGGGATAGGCTTTCCATATCTCTGCACGAGCCATAATCAATGGAGGGAGGATGAAAGTTTCACCAGCTCTTGGTTTCCTTTGGGAGAGGCATGGGGTCAGATTAAGTCTAATTGAATTCACTTTCACAGCAGTGGTTTAGGTGTGACTTACCAATTTAGCCCTAAACAGATTATGAGGATTAGAATTAACATGATAGCAAAAGATTATGTCAGAGTGAGGTTACCAATAATGCCGCTTGGATTATCTTCATTTATTATTTCTATTGCAGATATCAACTGTGAAATCTAGGAAATGAATTACTTAATAAAACGAGAAAACAACACGGTGAGTATTCTGCTCCAGTAAGCGGAATAAGAGTGAATATCATCAGCCAGCTGAGTGTCACAGTCAGCAAAAGCGTCTCCTTGGCCAATCAGGTCCCCTGTTTCATTGCTTGGCAACCAAAAGGGAAGGAGGTAGGGCAAAATGACAATGTAAAAATAGCACATCAATAGCCAAAGAAAGGCAAATACGTCAGCGAAGGCTATAAATAGCACAGTAGAGCCCATAATGTGCATTGTATACAGTGACCTATCTGTGATGTTGCTTTCATGTATGACATTTTATTTTCATGGATGCAAATTCAGCTTCAAATGCACACAAGGAGTAGACTTGGTAACACACAGAAGCAGTATTGTGAATAAATGAGATAATTTGAATATTATGGCTGTTTTTACGGTTCATAGGAAACAGCTCTCGTTTTTCTCGTGAGAAGTTCTTCCCAACGCGGTCAACAGGTTTCTACAGCAGCCCACTACTTCTGAGATTTTTTTGCATAGATGCAAAAAAGGAAAATACTCTTTTGAATGAATTAACAGTAGTTCTACCTGCAAATAGGATTTGCAAGTCAAAAAGGACTTTAAGGATTAGTGGTGCACATGAATAAGCACATGATATCTGTTTTCTTTGTATATTATTTGCTAAATGCTGTAAAATGTATTAAATTATTGCGAAGGCCATACATTTACATATAAAATTAAAACTGTACAACAAACTAATCACCCAACTAGAGTTCAGACCAAATTTTGGGTCACAAATGTGAGGATTCCTGCACGTGGGTGATCAAATCAAAGATACGTATGTGGGATGTGAAGATTTTTTCTGTATTATTTTATTCACTTATGTCCTTTTTTTTTTTTTTTTTTAAATATACACACATGGCCACACTGCCTGGAGGCCCATATGTAATACTTACAGCGTATCAAAAGCAATTAAAAGGTGGAGCAAGAGTAGAACCTTAAAAGGCTTTATCTGGGCCGTCTTATCCACCAGACATCTCTTGGGGAGGCTGGTTGTTGCTAGAGTAACCATCAGAAATGGCAACTGACGTCAAGAAGGTAGGAGAAATACCAGGGAGAGCCGGAGCTGCTATGCATTATGGATTATCGAAAAAAGGCCGCTCTTGAAGAGTGCAAAGTGACTTAAAATATGCGTGCCTTGCTGAGTTTGCTACCTTGTCTCCTCTTAATTTTCTCTTTGATGAGGAAAATGGATGATGACAGCTAGAGATATGTTTTTTCCTGAGAATCAGCCCTTTAACTAGGTCTAACTTAAGTTGTACATTTTATGT